GGTGGTCACGGACTCCAAGATTCAGTTTTCTACTCCCCTACAGAGCCTCGGGCACCATCCACGACCAGACCGTGTCGTTTTATCACCGCGCGCAAACTATCGTCAGGCCCTGCAATTTTCATATCAGGGCTCCTACAGTCTGTTAAGGCATTATTGAGTCGTGACATAGACAACACGGCGGCGTGTAGCATCGTATATCGGCGCGATGATTGCAGCTCACGACTCCACGGGACGTCTGGCAAACACGACCAGGCTGCAGCGAGTACAACATTCTCTGGCGCGGGTCGTGACGGGGAACTGCAGGATCCCACCGCGTCGTGCCCAGTGCTCGCCTAGCTGCATTGACTTCCAGTTGCCGAACGAATCCTTTGTCAGCTGGCACTCGCCGCGCACAAAGTGCTTGCCACAAATGAACCACGACCTCTCGGTGATCTCGTCAAGGAGGATAAACCATCATCACGCCCATCAAACAAAGACGGCGGTGGTCACCGCATCGTGCGACGCTTTCGGATGCGCTTCTGCGGCCGTCTGGAACGTTCTTCCCCTTCCGATATGAGGAATCCGCTGGAGCTGTGATGCACTTTTACATTTCGACTGAAAACTCATTCCTTAGAACTGCTCTATATGTTGAGTTGTTCTACCCCCACATCTCCAATTTGCAGGTTTGGCTACGTACCGTACGAAAGACGTTCAGCATACACACACGGTCACCACACACATCCGGTCAACACATTCAAGATACAGTGAACACAGTCGGTCAACACAGTTAACACACAGTAAAAACACACGGTCAACACACAGTCATCGCACACGATCAACACATACATAGGTCACCACAACACACACGATCAACACATACACACGGTCAACAAACGGTCAACACACACACGGTCAACGCACAGTAAAAACATACACACGGTTAACAAACACACACGGTCAACACACAGTCATCGCACACGATGAACACATACATACGGTCACCACAACACACACGATTAACACATACACACGGTCAACAAACAGTCAACACAACACACACGGTCAACGCACAGTAAAAACATACACACGGTTAACAAACACACACGGTCAACACACACATGGTCAAGGCACACGGTCACCACACACAGCAAACACGTACCACACGGTGAACAAACAAAACATACCCCCCGTGTCGCCTTCAAAGGCTGTTGGGGGGAGGCGCAAGTGCTGTGAGCGATAAGCAGCACCTGTGAAGGCGACCGGCACCGTGGCACGCGCGGAGGGGTGTGTGTGTTGCCAGTGGCGCCATGGCACGGCGAAGAAGCAGGTGTCTTGTGCGAACAACCTCACTCGCTGCGCGTGCGTCGCCAGCGAGGCCGTGATTATAATAGAAATTGGGGGGGGGGGGGATACACCCCCCAAATATATTGCTATAAAATAGATTTTTGTTTATACGATTGTGGTTATAGTTGTACTTTATTAATCCCTATATCTCTGCCATTACATACAATGAAACAAGAAAAGGTAAAAAAGTAAAAACAGAGCAATGTAATACAATACACCATTAGACATTATTGTAAAAAATAAATCAAAAGTCCATCCCATGTGTTAGTGAATTTTTAAATATTCTAGGCAGGAAATGAGTTTTCAAATTTAGATTTTTTTCTGGGGGGGGACCCCCAGACCCCCTGTAATATTTAGTCCCCCCCCCAATGTTGAGTCCATGGCTACGGCCTTGGTCGTGAGCACAGCTGGTGGGCTCGCCGGACGATCATCCTCGGTCAGTCGACCCCCATGGCACCCGGGTGGGGTCTGCCCCGTGACCTGCCCGCCTTTCCCGCAGCGAGCCTTCGACACTTCACGTGGCTTCAAAGTGCACCTAGCCTGGCACAGGCGCCGTGCTCACGTCACCGACACTTAGTGGCGAACGGCGGTTGTTGTGATTGCTGTGTCTGATGAACAGGTGTATGTGGCTGTATACAGGTGTGTGTGTGTTGGTATACAGGTGTGTGTGTGTTGGTATACAGGTGTGTGTGTGTGTTGGTATACAGGTGTTGTGTGTGTTGGTAATTGGGAGCGCATTGCGGTACGAACCCGGCGGCCCGAACCCGGCGGCTCGAGTTCGATTCCTGATCACGATCAATAAAAGTGGCGATTATCAGAACCGGTACTGGGCTCCTCTCCTAGGTCGACTCAGCCTCAAATGAGTACCTGGTGCGTTGTGGAGTAAACGCCGCCACAGGGGAGACAAAGGCGGTCGGGCGTGATGCTGGCTACTCCCTCGTGTATCGTGCCGGTCTTTGAAGGTGCTCGTTCACATCACTTGCCCCAAAGGTCTGTGAAGGCTGTACAAGGGGTGTATCGTTGTCTTGGTACAGGTGTGTACAGGTGTGCACAGGTGTGCACAGGTGTGGATACAAGGAGCAATGTATAATTATAGGCGACGTGTCGGGCAGTGGCTTCCTCCCAGCACATTGGCCTCAAGGGAGGCAGAGTGGACGATACGAGTTGGAGACCGAACTTTGTTTACAGCACGCGGCTTTGTTTACAAACAGGAGAAACGGTGCTTCCGCGGATTTCTATCTATACAAACACCCAGAAGAGTAGGAGCTTCCGCAGACTTCTAAGTTTCCAAACATCCAGGAGAGACGGAGCTTCCGCGGATTTCTATGTTTACAAATATTTCACACGTCTTTGTCTAAAACGTCGCCCTATTTTATTTTGGATTAAGGGCGCACGCACACAACAACAACCGCCATTCGCCACAAAGTGGCGGTGACGTCACCGCGATGCTTGTGCCAGTCTATGCTATGTGCACCTTGAGGCCACGTGAAGTGTCGAACGCCCGCTGGCAAGAGGTCACGGGGCAGACCCAGGTGCCGCGGGTCGACTGACTGAGATGACTGGCCGATGCACCACCTGTGCCCCCTACTGTGTCAACTTGCTGTGCTTTAGTCACCCGGCGCTCCTCCGCCCTCCGTTGTTGTTGGAGGGCGACTGCCTCCAATTCCCCAGTAGCAGCGTCCTTCACGAGCCTCCTCCACAGAGGCCGATCTTGACACCGCTGGTACCAGTCATCGGCAAGTCCACTCAGCTCCACATCCTCCTGTACCACATCACTCCATCTCTTCTCTTGCCCGTGCCGCGCCCGTTTAGCACCCTCTATCCGGCCGAACAAAAACTGTTGAGGCATGCGGTGGCTGGGCATGCGGGCTACATGGCCCAGACAACGCAGCCTTGCCTGCCGGAGGAGCTCACCGATGGGACAGATCTTTCAAAGATTTGTGAGCTCACACAATCCGGCCTGGTTAAACCCAGGATGGATCGTAGGCAGGCCAGCCTAAATGTTTCTAACCGGCGAAGACGTTCCATTAGGGGGGTCCACATTTGGCAAGCATAGAGAAGTGAGGGAATGAACGTGGCCGAGAAGACCTGAAGCTTCGTGCGGAGCGACAGACCAGGTAGCTTCCACACAGCGTTACGCAACCGATGAAAAGATAATGCTGCTCGACTGATTCGGAGTGAGACCTCTGCTGTCAAACCGGAGCCGGCCATGAGCACACTGCCCAGGTATGGGAAACTCTCCACTCTCTCCGCAACTGACCCATCACCAATTGGGAGTTGTGGGGTGGAGTGTCCGATGGTACAAAATACCCAGGCAGGTGCTTAGTTTTGGTGGGGCTGATCGTAAGGCCCCACCTCTTAGTGGCACGCTCCAGGTTCAGCAGCAGCGCCTCCAACTCCTCTTAGTGAGCGGCAATTACCAGATCATCGGCATACATAACGTGGTTGACCAATAGGGAGCCATCCCTTGACCGCACCCGGGCATCGATCAGTCTCCCATTGTATCTGTACCGGATGGAAATTCCTGCGGTACAGCTATTGAAGGCTTCAAGAACTACGTGGTCGAAAAATATGTTAAATAATGTTGGAGCCAGAGGACATCCCTGTCGCATCCCCAAGGTGAACAGGTTAATGGCTCCGACTCCCAGCCACGTAGTTTTACCCGGGCCCGCTCACCATCATGAAGGTCCTTAATGAGCGTGAGCAGAGGATCAGGGACTCCGAAAGCACGAAGAACAACCCAGAGCCCAGGCCTGCTGATGGTATCATAGGCCTTGACCAGGTCAATAAGGCAGAGATGTAGGTTTTGTTGGAATTCCCACGCACACACACATTCACACACACACATTCACACACACACATGCGCGCACACACAGCAACGCACACTCACACACACACGGTGCCATTGAGGGCTGCGTGTCGAGTTCGTCTCCAGCTCAGTGGAGTTGGTCTCCAACTCAGTCGACCCAGAGCCGAGCAAAGATTCAACAAACCCTCCTGCCGCTCACTGGATCTTGGCTCAAAGGCCAGAGCTATTTTCGTTTGACAGTGGTGGAAGTTCCACATTCCGATGGCGGGCGAGGAAGGGGGGGAGCGTGGGCCAGTCCATTCATACAACAACAACAACCCGTAAAGTTTTACTCGTTTTATCGACCATCGTGGGAGGGGAGCGATGATGGATTGAGTCATCTCCCGACCCCAACCAAGGCTGTGAACTTTTGACCTTTCAGTTGGGGACCACTCCCTCTTCACCACGGAGATATCTCGCGGTGTACAATGCGTGTACTGTAATTGTATTGTGATTTGCATAGCATTGTGTATCGTATTGTGCTCTGTAGTATTATGTTTAGCATAGTATTGTATTGTATAACGCGCAGTATTGTATGGTATTGTATTGTGCTGTATTGTATTTACTGTAGTATTGTATTATGTGTTGTGTAGAATCACGTGGGGTATTGTGTAGTGTTGTGTAGTGTCACGTGCTGTATATTATCGTCTCGTGTGGTGTATGGTATTGTATTGTATATATGACTGTGCAGTGCGCTGTATAGGATTGTGCAGAGTATAGGATTACGTATGGCATTCCGTCTCGCGCCAAGCCCGTGGTCACACACACCTGTACTCGGGGGCGGGGCACACCGGGGGGGGGGGCGGGGGGAATAGGATGATGACGTCACACAGGTGTGTGAGGAACGCGGCTTACCTGGTCACTGTTGCGGGCACTCAGGACCAGGGACTAGAAGAGCCACGGTCAGTGACCTGGAACCCAGGGACTCAGGACTCGGGGACCCGGGACCCAGGGAACCGGGACTAGAGACTAACGACCCGGGACCCAGGGACTAGGGACTCAGGACTCGGGGACCCAGGGGACAGGGGGCCCGGGACCAGGGACCAGGAGGAGGAGGAAACGCGGCTCCGGTGGAGACGAGGTGAGGCATGTTCTGGTGAGGTGTCGCGAAGTCTCTCTCGCTGTCTCAACCATCACCCGTCACCCATCACCAATCACCAATCACCCGTCACCAGTCACCCATCACCCGTCACCCATCACCCATCACCAATCACCAATCACCAATCACCCGTCACTAATCACCCATCACCAATCACTCGTCACCAGTCACCCATCACCAATCACCAATCACTCGCCACGTGTCTCCTCATTGTTGACCACGTGGCCTCGCCAGCCGCCTGTCGTGAACGAGGTCGCCTCGGGCACGCGCCGCTCACTGCGCCCTCGTCAAGTGGTGGTGATGGTGGTGGTGATGGTGGTGATGATGATGATGATGGTGGTGATGATGATTCTGGTAATGATGATGGTGGTGATGATGATGGTGGTGATGATGATGATGGTGGTGGTGGTGATGGTGGTGGTGGTGATGGTGGTGGTGATGGTGATGATGATGATGATGGTGGTGGTGGTGGTGGTGATGATGATGATGGTGGTGGTGATGATGATGATGATGATGGTGGTGGTGGTGATAGTGGTGGTAGTGGTGGTGGTGATGATGGCGGTGGTGGTGGTGGTGGTGATGATGGTGGTGGTGATGATGGTGGTGGTAGTGGTGGTGGTGGTGATGGTGGTGGTGATGATGATGATGGTGGTGGTGATGATTATGATGATGGTGGTGATGATGGTGGTGGTGATGGTGATGGTCTGATTGTGTGAGTGTGTGTGTGATTTATGTGTATGTTATTGTGTGTGATTTTGTGTCATTGTGTGTTATTGTGTGTGATTGTGTATGATTATGTAAGTGTGTGTGATTATCTTTGATCGTGTGCGATTGTGTGTGTGTGTGATTGTGTGTGCCTGATTGTGATTCCTATACCTGGGCAGCGTGCCCATAACCGGCTCCAGTTTAACAGCAAAGGTCTCACTCCAAATCAGTCGAGCGGCATTATCTTTTCATCGGTTGCGTAACGCTGTGTAGAAGCTACCTGGTCTGTCGCGCAGCACGAAGCTTCAGGTCTTCTCGGCCACACTCATGCCCTCACTTCTCTATGCTTGCGAAACGTGGACACCCCCCTAATGGAACATCTTCGTCGGTTAGAAATATTTAGACTGGCCTGCCTACGATCCATCCTGGGTTTAACCTGCAGGCTGGATTGTGTGAGGAGCTCACAAATCCGTGAAAGATCTGGACAAAGTCCCATCTGTGAGCTCCTCCGGCAGGCAAGGCTGCGTTGGCTGGGTCATGTAGCCCGCGTGCCCAGCCACCGCATGCCCAAGCAGCTTCTGTTTGGCCGCATAGAGGGGGCTGAACGGACGCGGCTCGGGCTGGAGAAGAGATGGAGTGATGCGGTACGGGAGGACGTGGTGCTGAGTGGACTTGCCGAAGACTGGTGGTTATAGTGGTGGTGGTTGAGTTGTGGTTATAGTGGTGGTGGTTGAGTTGTGGTTATAGTGGTGGTGGTGTGGTTATAATAGTGGTGGTTGAGTTGTGGTTTTAGTGGTGGTGGTTGTGGTTATAATAGTGCTGGTTGTGGTGTGGTTGTGGTAGTGGTGGTTGAATTATGGTTATAGTGGTGGTGGTTGTGGTGTGGTTGTGGTAGTGGTGGTTGTGGTTATAGTAGTGGTGGTTGTGGTAGTGGTGGTTGAGTTGTGGTTGTAGTGGTGGTGGTTGTGATGTAGTTATAGTAGTGGTGGTTGAGTTGTGGTTGTAGTGGTGGTGGTTGTGGTGTGGTTATGGTAGTGGTGGTTGTGGTTATAGTAGTGGTGGTTGTGGTGTGGTTATAGTAGTGGTGGTTGTGGTTGTGGTGGTGGTAGTAGTGGTTGTGGTGTGGTTATGGTAGTGCTGGATTTGGTGTGGTTATAGTAGTGCTGGTTGTGATGTGGTTGTAGTGGTGGTGGTTGTGGTGTGGTTGTAGTGGTGGTTGAGTTGTGGTTATAGTAGTGGTGGTTGTGGTTATAGTAGTGCTGGTTGTGGTGTGGTTGTAGTGGTGGTGGTTGTGGTGTGGTTATAGTGGTGGTTGAGTTGTGGTTGTGGTGGTGGTGGTTGTCTCATTAAACTCCACAGCGGCGACTGTTTGTCAACATAGAAATCCGCGGAAGCGCCGTCTCTCCTGGGTGTTTGTAAACATAGAAATCCGCGGAAGCGCAGTTTAGCCTGGGTGTTTATAAACATGAAATCCGTGGAAGCGCCGTCTCTCCTGGGTGTTTGTAAAGATAGAAATCCGCGGAAGCGTTATCCCTCCTGGGTTTTTGTAAACAGAAATCCGCGGAAACGCCGTCTCTGCAGGCTGTTTGCAATCAATGAAATGCACAGAAGCGCCGACTCCGCAGGGTGTTTTCAGACGTGGAAATCCGCGGAAGCGCAGTTTTAGGGACGCTCTCTCCCGCTTTCTCTCCGTTAACTCTCCTCATCTCCCCGCGTTCCCAATCTCTCGTCTCGGCACTTGCATTGACACCATTCGGGTGACTCCCCCCGCCCCCAGCCCCACCCCCACCCCCAGCCGCCCCCCCAGCCCCGCCCCCAGCCGCCCCCCCCTCTCGAGTCCCCAGGGGTGCGTGGGGTCCGGTTAGACGGGCCCGACCGGGTTCGAGTCCGTGTGTGGGTCACGCGGTGTACGAGCATCCCAGAGCCACGCGCTATCAACTTACCCGCGCTCACCTCCATCACCTCCTCCTCTTCGCCACCACCTCCTCTTCACCACCACCACCTCCTCTTCACCACCACCTCCTCTTCACCACCACCACCTCCCCCTCCTCCTCCTCCTCACCACCACCACCACCACCAACTCCTCTTCACCACCACCTCCTCCTCTTCACCACCACCACCACCTTCTCCTCTTCACCACCACCACCACCTTCTCCTCTTCACCACCACCTCCTCCTCCTCTTCACCACCACCACCACCACCACCACCTTCTCCTCTTCACCACCACCACCACCTTCTCCTCTTCACCACCACCTCCTCCTCCTCTTCACCACCACCACCACCACCTCCTCCTCTTCACCACCACCACCACCACCTCCTCCTACTCTTCACCACCACCACCACCACCTCCTCCTACTCTTCACCACCACCAACTCCTCTTCACCATCCCGCTGACCTCCTTACCTGCGCTCACCTCACCACACCGTCCAGCTCATCCTCACCACACCGCTCACCACCTTCTCACCACCCCGCTCACCTGATCGCTCCCCTCCCCTTCCAGGTGTGGGTGAGCCCCCCCTCACCCATCCCCCCCCCCCGCACCATGCGGGCGCTACTGGGGGGCCAGGTGACGTTGGTGAGCGCCCTGATCTGCGCTCACCTCAAACTCACCTCACTCTGCCCGACAGGTGAGCTCCACCATCTAGCGCACACACCTGTACCAACACACACACACCTGTACCAACACACACACACCTGTACCAACTCACACACCTGTACCAACTCACACACCTGTACCAACACACACCTGTACCAACTCACACACACCTGTACCAACTCACACACCTGTACCAACACACACACCTGTACCAACTCACACACCCTGTACCAACACACACCTATACCAACACACACACCTGTACCAACACACACACGTGTACCAACACACACACAGCTGTATCAACTCACCCTCCTGTACCAACTCACACACACCTATACCAACACACACACACCTGTACCAATACCAACACACACACACACCTGTACCAACACACACATACACCTGTACCAATAATACACAAAGATCCCCCATATAGCCTTAACAGACTGTAGGGGCAAACCTGTACCAACACACACACACCTCAACCAACACACATGTACCAAAACATACGTACACCTGTAACAACACACACACCTGTATATCAACAACCGTGGTGGTGACATCACCACGGCGCTTGTGCCAGGCTAGGTGTACCTTGATGCCACGTGAAGTATCCAGGGCTGGCTGGCAGGAGGTCACGGGACAGACCCACGTGCCATGGGTTAACTGAACTGAGATGACTGGCAGATGCACCAGCTGTGCCCCCTACTGTGCACACTTTCTGCGTTTTAGCTGCCCGGCGCTCCGTTCATTGTTGTGAGTGTCGCTTCTCCGCCGTTGCTGGAGGGCGACTGCCTTGACTTGCCCAGTAGCAGCGTCCTTCACGAGCCTCTTCCTTGACACAGATGCTACCAATCATCGGTCCACTCCTGTACCACATCAGCTCCATCTCTTCTCTCGTTTGTGTTCCGTCCGTTTAGTCCCCGCTATCCGGCCAAACAGAAGCTGCTTTGGCCATGCACTGGCTGGGCATATGGGCTACATGACCCAGCCAACGCAGCAGACTCGCCTATCGGAGGACCTCACTGATGGGAATGTGTCCAGATCTTTCAAGGATCTGTGATGCTCCTCATACAATCCGGTCTGGTTAATCCCAGGATGGATCGTAGGCAGGCCAGCCCTTTAGAAGGCTCCACCTTTCGCAGGTAGAGAGAAGAGAGGACATAATGATGTGTGGAGCGACAGACCAAGTAGTTTCCAGACAGCATTATGCAGCTGATGAAAAGAAAATGCCGCTCTAATGATTCGGAGTGAGACCTCTGCTGTCAAATCGGAGCTGGTCATAAGCACACTGCCCAGGTATGGGAACTCCTCCACTCTCTCAACAACTGCCCCCACCTGTGCATCGCAAACATACACACATGTACACACATTCACATACACACACTTGTACACACATTCACACACACCTGTACACACATTAACACACACCTGTACACACATTCACACACACACCTGTACATACATACACACACACCTGTACACACATTCACACACACACCTGTACATACATTCACACACACACCTGTACACACCTTCACACACACACCTGTACACACATTCACACACACACCTGTACACACATTCACATACACACCTGTACACACATTAACATACACACACACATTCACACTCACACACCTGTACACACATTCACATACACCTGTACACACATTCACACACACACCTGTACACACATTCACACACACCTGTACACACATTCACACACACACACTCACACACCTGTACACACATTCACACACACCTGTACACACATTCACACACACACCTGTACACACATTCACACACCTGTACACACATTCACACACACACACACCTGTACATACATTCACACACACCTGTACATACATTCACACACACCTGTACATACATTCACACACACCTGTACATACATTCACACACCCCTGTACACACATTCACACACACACCTGTACACACATTCACATACACACCTGTACACACATTAACATACACACACACATTCACACTCACACACCTGTACACACATTCACATACACCTGTACACACATTCACACACACACCTGTACACACATTCACACACACCTGTACACACATTCACACACACACACCTGTACATACATTCACACACACCTGTACACACATTCACACACACCTGTACACACATTCACACACACACACCTGTACACACATTCACACACACACCTGTACACACATTCACACACACACACCTGTACATACATACATACACACACCTGTACACACAATCACACACACACACCTGTACACACATTCACACACACACCTGTACACACATTCACACACACACACACCTGTACATACATACATACACACACAGACCTGTACACATTCACACACACACCTGTACACACATTCACACACACACACCTGTACACACATTCACACACACCTGTACACACAATCACACACACACACCTGTACACACATTCACACACACACACCTGTACATACATTCACACACACCTGTACATACATTCACACACACCTGTACATACATTCACACACACACAAACACCTGTACACACATTCACACACACACACCTGTACACACACACACACCTGTACACACATTCACATACATACACACATTCACATACACACCTGTACATACATTCACACACACACCTGTACATACATTCACACACACACCTGTACACACACACACCTGTACACACATTCACATACATACACACATTCACATACATACCTGTACATACATTCACACACACACACACACCTGTACATACATTCACACACACACCTGTACACGCATTCACACACCCACACCTGTACTCAGATTCACACATCGCCCCCCGCCCCACCCGCCCCCCGCCCCCCGCCCCCCACCCCCACCCCCCGTGTTGCAGGGGAGAGGTGGAGCGACCCCCCCGCGGCCCTGGCCACGGCACCCTTGGGCGCAGCATGGGGGGGGGCGCTGGAGGTCACGTGGGGGCGCCCCCCCCGAGCCTCGCTGCCCATCACGTGGTACCAGGTGTGGGCGCACGGGGACCACGTGGCCAGCGTCAACGCCACTGCGCCCGGGGTGAGCGTCACGTGACCACGGCACGTGGGGATCGCCACGTGGGCATGAGAGAAGCGTCACCTACACGGGCACCGTCAACCACCTCCATCACCTCCACCATCACCACCTCCACCACCTCCACCATAACTGCATCATCACCATCACTACCTCCACCACCTCTACCATCACCGCATCACCACCATCACCACCATCACTACCTCCACCATCACCACCTCCACCATCACCACCTCCATCACCTTCACCATCACCACCTCCATCACCTCCATCATCACCACCTCCACCATCACCACCATGACCACCTCCACCATCACCACCTCCACCATCACCACCTCCATCACCTCCATCATCACCACCTCCACCATCACCACCATGACCACCTCCACCATCACCACCTCCACCATCACCACCTCCATCACCTCCACCATCACCACCTCCACCATCACCACCATGACCACCTCCACCATCACCACCTCCACCATCACCACCTCCATCACCTCCACCATCACCACCTCCACCATCACCACCATGACCACCTCCACCATCACCACCTCCACCATCACCACCATTACCACCTCCATCACCTCCACCATCACCACCTCCACCACCTCCACCATCACCACATCACCACCACCTCCACCACCTCCACCATCATCGCATCACCACCACCACCATCACCACCTCCACCATCACCTGCACCACCTCCACCATCACCACCTCTACCATCTCCACCTCCATCGTCTCCACCTCCACCATCACCACCATGACCACCTCCACCATCACCACCTCCACCATCACCACCTCCACCATCACCACCATGACCACCTCCACCATCACCACCTCCACCATCACCACCATCACCACCTCCACCATCACCACCATCACCACCTCCACCATCACCACCATCACCACCTCCACCATCACCTGCACCACCTCCACCATCACCACCTCTACCATCTCCACCTCCATCGTCTCCACCTCCACCATCACCACCATGACCACCTCCACCATCACCACCTCCACCATCACCACCTCCACCATCACCACCATGACCACCTCCACCATCACCACCTCCACCATCACCACCATCACCACCTCCACCATCACCACCATCACCACCTCCACCATCACCACCATCACCACCTCCACCATCACCTGCACCACCTCCACCATCACCACCTCCACCGTCTCCACCTCCATCGTCTCCACCTCCACCATCACCACCATCACCACCTCCACCATCACCACCTCCACCATCACCACCTCCACCATCACCACCATGACCACCTCCACCATCACTACCTCCACCATCACCACCTCCACCATCACCACCATCACCACCTCCACCATCACCACATTCACCATCACCGCACCACCACCATCACCACCTTCACCACCACCATCACCACATGCACCACCACCATCACCACCATCACCACATTCACCATCACCGCACCACCACCACCATCACCACCTCCACCATCACCACCATCACCACATGCATCACCACCACCTTCACCACCACCTCCATCACCACCCCTACCACTGCCGCCACCATTCACCCCTTGCCTCTCGGCTCCGCAGGATGACTCTGGGTCAGAGCGGCTGAGAGTGGAGCTCAGCGGCCTGGAGCCCAACACCACATACTCCATCGAGGTGTGCTCCACCCTCCCCGCTCCACCCTCCCACTCCACCCTCCACACTCCACCCTGCCCACTCCACCTTTCCCACTCCACCCTGCTTGCTCCACCCTCCCACTCCACCCTTCCTGCTCCCCCCTTCCCACTCCACCCTCCCCGCTTATTTTTCGTACTTTGATACTGCCAATAAAGATCCCATGATACGACCGCTCACCCCGGCCCAGGCGGTCGTGGGTTCCATCCAGACCCTGACGCCTGCTGCTGTATATTTGGAGTTTGCGTGTCTCTCTCTCTCCCCCTGCGGTCGCGTGGATTTTTTTTCTTCGGGTCCTCTGGTTTTTCCCCCCTACACTTTTAAGAAACGCGCATTGAGATTGTTCAGGTTATTTCGATGCTGTGAATGGTCCAAATGATGGGGGGGGGGGGGCACTTTTGTTGAGCGATCATTTGTGATACCCAGGTAGCTTCTGAAAAATAAGCGAACACCTCAGTGGGCTTTGCCTGGTAGGATGGGGATGGTTTGTTGTTGTGTTTGTTTGTGTTTGGGTGATTTGTTTACCTTTCTTGTACTTTGCACTGCTGACGTGTTTGTTGTTGAAACCTTCTTACCCCGTTGCCCCTACTGCACACCTGTGAAAAAGAGCTTCATAACTCATCGGATTTTTCATGCAGTACAAATACAGATTCTGATTCTGCGTGCACCCAGCCTGGCACAACCGCCGTGGTGACGTCACCGCCAATTAGTGGCGACTGTTGTTGTTGTTGTCGTGGGGAGCGGTGGCGCAGCAGGTTAGCGACACTTATACTACGAAACCGGTGACCCGAGGTCAATTCCCGTGCTCGACCAACAACAATTGTGAATAGTTGAACCTGTCCTGTGCCTCCCCTAGGTCGACTCAACCTTAAATGAGTACCTGGTGTGGTGTGTAAACATGAGCATTGGGGAGACAAAGGCGGCCGGGTGTGGTGTTGGCCACCCACCCACCCCCTCGTGTGCCTTACCGGCCAAGTCGGCTTTGGCTTTATATTTGTCTTTTTGTCCGTGCCAGGTTTTCCCGGTGTCTGTGTCCGGAAGCTGTGTCTCCCAGGGTCCTGCAGCCTCAATCAACGTCACTCGTGAGTGACGTCACTCACTCGCTCGTGATCACTCTCATGTACTCACCCACTCACCCACCTACTCACCCACCAACTCACCCACTCGCGCACCTACTCACGTACCTACTCACCCACTCACCCACCTACTCATCCACTCACCCACTCACCCACGTACTCACCCATTCGCCCACCTACTCACCCACCTACCCACCTGCTCGCCCACTCAATCATCCACCCATCCACTCGCCAACTCAACCCAACTCATGCACCCATTCAATCATCTACCTACTCAGCCACGTATTCATCCAAACATCCACCCATGCACCAACTCGCCCGCCCACCCTCTTATTCACCCATATACCTACTTATTCATCCACTCAATTACCCACCCACTCACCCAATGATTTACCCTCTGAATCATCAACCTACTCACCCACCCACCCGCTCACCCGCTCATCCGCCCACTCAGTCATCCACCACGGTCACCGCCTGTCCAGGAACCGGCGTCTGCATTCGAGTGACGGCGGTAGGATTTGTTTGGAACCGGGGTCTGGTCCCGGTCCCAGTGATCACAGGAGACGGCCACGGTTACTGTGGCCGTCCCCGGGGTGCGGCGGTGTCCAGCGAGGAGGCTGAGCCACCCCTCCCTCATCCTCGTGGCCCGCTGCACGTGTGCGGCGCTCGTGCCGGATGAGAGGGCCGGCGTCGTGGGGACTATTTATTTGTTGTGATTAAATGAATAATTGTTGTTGGGACAGCGCGCGTTCACCGGGGGAAAGCCTCGGTAGGGTGCTGACAGGTTCCCGCTGCTGCTGCTGCTGTGTGATCCAAGTTGAATGAGTTGCAGGGGATTACTCGATAGCAGTGCCACTGTGCGTGTGGGGGTTTAGCTGTGGGAGGAAGCCCATGGAGAGCAGAGGGAGAGAGAGCGCATAGACGCACACGCAGACACACCCACACACACACTCCCACACACAGATTCCATGGCGAGGGAGAGAGAGGGGGCCCCAGCTGGGAATCGAACCCAGGTTCTGGCTGTGAGGCGTGGAGCGTTGTCACTGCGCCACCGCCACCGCCGCCCGATCGTCATCAATGACCTCCCCTGACCCCCCCCCCCTGCTGCACCCACAGTGGCCTCCTCCACGCGCGTGGACTCGCGAGGACTCCTCAACTGCAACGGCACGTGCCGTGAGTGGCCCCCCCATCACCACCACGCGGGCACAACACGCCTGGGGGGTGGGGGCACGACGGGGGGCAGGGAGTGAGGGGGGGGGGTGAGTGTGTCGGTGAGTGAGATAGTGAATGTGTCGGTGGGTGAGTCAGAGAGTGAATGTGTCAGTGAGAGAGTGAGATAGTGAATTTGTTAGTGGTTGAGTGAGATAGTGAATGTTTCAGTGGTTGAGTGAGATAGTAAATGTGTCAGTGGGTGAGTGAGAGAGTGAATGTTTCAGTGGTTGAGTGAGATAGTGAATGTGTCATTGAGAGAGTGAGATAGTGAATGTTTCAGTGGTTGAGTGAGATAGTAAATGTGTCAGTGGGTGAGTGAGAGAGTGAATGTTTCAGTGGTTGAGTGAGATAGTGAATGTGTCAGTGAGAGAGTGAGATAGTAAATGTGTCAGCGGTTGAGTGAGATAGTAAATGTGTCAGTGGGTGAGTGAGAGAGTGACAATGTGAATGGGAGGGTGAGTGACTGGGTGAGTGGTTGAGACAGTGAGTGTGTCAGTGGGTGACAGAGTGATGGGAGGAGCGGTGGCGCAGCGGTGAGCACACTGCGTGACAAACCCACCAACTCAAGTGCGATTCCCGCTCACGGCCAAATTGACAGCGAACATCTGAACTGGCCCTGGGCCTCCCCTAGATCGACTCTGCCTTAAATGAGTAACCACAACGAAGCCTACACCGATGTGGTGTTGGCCAGCCGCCCCTCGCGTGTGCTTCACCGGCCTTGGCTTGCCCCACGAGCCTGCGAAGGCTACACGGGGCGCCTTTGTCTTTGATGATGGGGTGAGCCACGGGGTGAAGTCGCTCACCGCCCCCCCCCCTCGCCCCGCAGTCTCGGAGGATGCCCGCACGGCGCTCATTGTGGTGCCGCTCGTCATCGGCATCCCCACGGTGGTCCTGGTGGCCCTGGTGCTCTGGAAGGGCTGCTCGCGGTGGGACCCGCCCGGCGGCGGCACCGGTGGCGACGGGGCGCAGCTCAAGAACGTCCAGGGGCCACCCTCGACCCCGGGGCGGCCCGGCGGCACCCTGGGGAGCTCCACGGGCGAGCAGACCCGCGCCACGTGGACCCCGCCCGACAAGACGGCCGGCTGATCGGTCGGGGCTGGGGTCTGGTCGGGAGGGGTCGGAGGTCAAGGGTCAAGGGTAGGGGTTGCCACCTTTCCGCGGTGGGGGGGGGGGGGGGGTCAGAGGGAGGGTTCATCTCGCGCTGCCCCGACGCAGATTTCCCCCCAGCGCGTTCCTGGGGAAACCAGGACAGGTGGCAACTCTGCGGCAGTGAAACCCCTCTGTGAGGGTTCGGGGGGTGAGGTTACCCCCTCGGTGCTGAGTGGTACCGTGGAGTACAGATTGGTCCTTGGAACCCTGGGGTTGGGAGTGGGGGGCGGGGTTCAGCGGTGAGGTGGAGGTGACCCCCCCCCCCCCGCGATACCCACGGGAAGCTCGCGAATGCTGCGCGACTTGGAGCGGCCCGACAGTTCGTGGTCGCACGCAAATGAGCGAGGCGCCGAGCGGCAGAGAGAGTGACTTTCTAGTGGAATTCAAATCGTGTCTGGGGACGCACCGTGACGAGCCGTGGCTCTGGAGAATGAGACTGCGAAGTGATGGTCTCTCTCTCGCTGTCTCTCCGTGTCTCTCCCTGTCTCTCTCTGTCTCTCTCTGTCTCTCTGTGTCTCTCCTTGTCTCTCTCTGTCTCTCTGTGTCTCTCCCTGTCTCTCTCGCTGTCTATCTGTGTCTCTCTGTGTCTCTCCCTGTCTCTCTCTGTCTCTCTCTGTCTCTCTGTGTCTCTCTCTGTCTCTCGAGTTATCCACGGGTTGAAACGGAACCGACTTGCAACGTGACTCGCTTGTCATCGCACTCCGCCAGACGTGGGTGTGTTGAAGTTCTTTCGCACCGTACGTAGTCAACCGTGCTAATCGAAGGTGCGGGGGAAGGACAACGAACTAAGCACAAAAAGCATTCGGCCAATCGTTCACCCATTCATTCATTCACCGATGCACTCATTCACTCACCAACCCATCATCTCACCCACTCACTCGTTAATTCACCCACCTTCTCACTCACCCACCCATCTACCCAATCATTAACTCACTCACTGATCCACTCACCCGCCATCTCATTCACCCACATATTAATTAATCCACTCATTCATCCGGTCTGCGAGTTCTCACCTGGTGAAACACAACTGACTTGACTTGGTCACCCACCCACTCGCCCACACACTCACCCATCAACCCCACCCACTCACCCACCCACTCACCTACCCACTCACCTACCCACTCACCTACTCACCCACCCACTCACCCACCCACTCACCTACCCACTCAGCTACTCACCCACCCACTCAGCTACTCACCCACCCACTCAGCTACTCACCCACCCACTCAGCTACTCACTCACTCACCCACCCACTCACTCACCCACCCACCCACCCACTCACCCACCCACTCGCCAACCCCACCCACCCATCCACTCATTCACTGCCCTGGCCTCCGAGCTCTCACCGGGCCACAACACACGCGCCACGGAGCGCGCGCCAACACCGCCGCTCGGTGGCTGCGTTTTTGGATCGAGATTTTAAACAAAAAACTTCTTACCCCTCCGCCCCCACCCCGTGTAGCCTTAACAGACTGCTGGGGCAAGTGCTGTTAGCGAGTAGCAGCACCTGTGAAGGCCGGCACGGCGCACGAGGGGGTGGGTGGGTAAGTAGCCAGCACCACGCACGGGCCGCCTTTGTCTCCCCAGCGGCGATGTTGACACGCCGCACCAGGCACTCATTTGAGGCTGAGTCGACCTAGGGGACGGAGGCCCAGGAACCGTTCGGGTTCGTAGCGCAGTGAGCTAACCGCTGCGCCACCGCTCCCCACAGCCACTCCGAAGGGGCCGTCCATAAATGACGTCACGCACCTAGGGGGGGGGGGTCAGACATTTGTGACGATGTGTGACGCGGGGGGGGGGGGTTGAGAAATGTGACGTCACATCAAAATGCGCAACTTTAAATAAATATAGACGACACGTTCTACTTAATTAAATAGACTTTTTAATAAATGTTTTCTCCTACAATATCAGAGTACAGCGGCACATTAAATACGCACTACAATGACAATAGTTTAAAGCGATTTGAAGCATGTTTTATAATAAAAAATTGGGGGGGGGGGGGGCAGAGCTTTGTGACGTCACATTTGAGGGGGGTCTGACTTTTTGTGACGCAGTGTGACGAGGGGGGTGGGGGTCAAAAATCGTCCAAAATCGCGTGACGTCATTTATGGACGGCCCCTAACCTGCCCCTCCGCCATACCAGACGAGGGACTGTCCACCACCATTAGTTGCAGGCAGATGAATGTTGAATTTCTTTCGCACCATACGTTGCCAATCGTGCTTTATTGGAGCTGTGTGGCGGGAAGGACAACAAACGAAACACAAAAAACATTTCTTAATGAGTTTTTTTTATGTGGATGATTTAAAAGGGTATGTAGCTCCAGTGGCTTCCTATTACGGGAAGAGCGTTCCAGACGGCCGCAGAAGCGAATGATGTTTATTACGTCGCTGTTAACGATGGTAATGTTAATGATGGCCATCATCATCATCATCCATCATTGTCAGCCATGGTCACTCCACTGCTGGATGAATGCCTCCCCACCGCGTCCGTGATGCACCGTCCGTGATTTTACTCCATTTCCATCGCTCCATCTCCGCGGGGTGAGGGTGGTGGGTGCTCGTCCTTCGGGACGCGGTCTCTGCTGCCAATGCCGTCCCCCCGTCTCGCTCATCGTCACATCCCGCTTCTGTGTCCACGCCGTATCCTGCCCAGTGATTGGTGGCGCTGCTGGTGGCGGTGGCGGTGGTAACGTGGAGTTGTGGTTAGCGGTCATGATCGCTTGTGTCGGACTGGATTAAATAAATATATTATATCATGGTAATCGGTGGGGTACAGGTGTGTGCGTCAAGGTGTGTGCAGGTTCCTGGACACAGTCCCAATGGGTGAGCTCCTCTGGCAAGCGAGGTTGCGTTGGCTGGGTGTGACAGCAACGTGTGTGTGATGTGTATGTACAGATGTATTATTTAACATATATTTCGACCACGTAGTTCGTGAAGCCTTCAATAGCTGTACCGGAGGAATTTACATATGGGACAGATACAATGGGAGGCTGATCGATGCCCGGGTGCGGTCAAGGGATGGCTCCCTATTGGTCAACCACGTTATGTATGCCGATGATCTGGTAATTGCTGCTCACTCAGAGAACGAGTTGGAGGCGCTGCTGTTTAACCTGGAGCTTGCCACTAAGAGGTGGGGCCTTACGATCAGCCCCACCAAAACTAAGCACCTGCCTGGGTATTTTGTACAATCGGACACTCCACCCCCACAACTCCCCATTGGTGATGGGGCAGTTGTGGAGAGAGTGGAGAGTTTCCCATACCTGGGCAGTGTGCTCATGACCAGTTCCGGTTTAACAGCAGAGGTCTCACTACGAACCAGTCGAGCGGCATTATCTTTTCATCGGTTGCGTAACGCTGTGTGGAAGCTACCTGGTCTGTCGCTACACACAAAGCTTTTGGTCTTTACTTGCGAAAGGTGGAGCCTTATTAACGAACATCTGCGCCGGTTTAAAACGTTTAGGCTGGGTTGCCTACGATCCATCGTGGGTTTAACCAGGCTAGATTGTGTGCTGAGCTCACAGATCCTTGAAAAAATCTGGACACATTTTTTTTATCAGTGAGCTCCTCCGGCCGACGAGGTCGAGTGCGAGAGTGTTGCCAACTGTCCCAGATTGGCCCAGAGTCGTCGACCGGAATCGACATCGATCCCCCGGTGATTCCTGAAAGCAAAGATGTTCGTGGGATATTTTTGGTTTACGTATTAATAAACCATCTCACGGAATAGCTTCACAGAGTTGGCAACCCCGACCTGCGGCATATCCCGGGGAGCATTGCCGTCCGCTGTGCTCCGAGTGGCCGCAGAAATCGCCTCGCACCGAGATGCGGTGCCGGCTTCACGGTTGCGTTGAGCTGCCGTGGCCAGGACGCTTCGTGGGGCCGCCGCGACCTGCTCGGTTCATCACCTTTACTGCAGCCTTGCGCCCACTTTGGTTCGCAATCGTTAAACAAATGTACTAAGTTAACAATAATAATAAAGACATAGCGTTTGTTGAAACAAAGTAGTTACTTACGTTGCTTAATTTGTTTTTGACGATTGACTTTTCTAAGAAACTCTGGCCATGTCTCGCGTGACCCAAAGGAAGGGTATCTCGCACCCCCAGACGGAGCGTGCATCATCCCAGGTTCAGAAGAGCCACGGACTTCAACCAAATCGGGGGAAGTTCGCGGTTGAAGTCCCTCGCTCCTCGATATTTCCAGAAGTTCATTTTGAGCCGCTGTCATTTTTTTTTTTAGACTCGCGGGGTTCGTGGTTGTTCGGGGGCCCCCCCTTTTAACTGGAGGGCAACTTATTTGGGGGGTTACTCTTTAGGCTCCCCCTCCCTACTTAGGCCACAACCCCTTTGTGGGGTCAGAACGGGTGCGCAAGGTCAGTAGGGGCGGGGGCAGAATTGGTGGGTGGGGTCAGTAGAGATGGGCGGGGTCAGTAGAGATGGGCGGGGTCAGTAGAGATGGGCGGGGTCAGTAGGGGTGGGCGGAGTCAATAGGAGGAAAAAGGTCAGCTGACCTCTGACCAATATCCCTCTTGCCCTGGACCTCCAATAGGCACGGTTGGCTACGTATGGTGCGAGAGAGGTTCAACATCCATACAAAGATCACAACGCGTGTCGGCAGCAGAACGTTGAGAGGCCGACTGAGAGACAATGGTGGGGCGGAAGAGGTGACGGGCCCCTGGGACGATCAACGACGCGACTGGAGAGAAGATGGGTGGACGCACAGACACACGTACACGGGCAAAGACAAAGACCCCGTATAGCCTTAAGACTGTTGGGGCAAGTGCTGTTAGCGAGCACGTAGCAAGTCCAGCACAGCACACGAGGGGGTGGGTGGCCAACACCACGCCCGGCCGCCTTTGTCTCCCTAGTGGCGATGTTTACTACACACCGCACCAGGTAGTAATTTGAGGCCAAGTAAACCTAGGGGAGGCCCAGGATAATTGTCACCGATGTTGGTGGCTGTGAGCAGGAATCGAACTCGGGTCGCCGTGTTCGGGGTGCAGCGTAGCGCTAACCGCTGCACCACCGCTCCCAAGGCCCCAGGACGATCAACGGCGTGGCTGGAGAGAAGAGGGGTGGGCGCACAGAGACGCGCACACGGACACACGCACACGTGAGCACAACGTGACCGCTCTCCGCTTTATTGCAACTCGGCAAACAGCTCCGAACGTAACAGGGACCCCCGCAGGACGCACACCGAAAATCCCGCGAAAGAGCGGCTCCTGCACCCCGACCCCTCCCCAGAACGAACACGCACCCTGCCCCGACCACGAGCAGTGCAGCACACACGCGCCACAGCACAACCACTACCAGTGCAGCACACTCGCACGACGCCCCTACTAGTACAAGCACACATGCACCACAACCCTTATCCCATACAAGCAAACACGCACCACACTCCACCCCTACCAGTAGAGCGCACACACACACACCCCCGAACCGCTACCAGAACAAGCACACACGCACCCCGCCTCCTACCACGACAGCGCCCACACACACGCGCACGCACCCCACCACGACGAACGAATGCAGCACACGGCATTGCGTACCCTGCCACTCGCTGCCCGTCCCAACGGTAAACAACAGGGTGACAGCAGCGAGATACACCCCAACACCCGTGGAGTGGTTCATTGGAGGGGAGCGGGCAAGGTGGAGGGGGATATATTTTGGGGGGGTGCGCAAGTTGGAGGGGGTTCTGAAGACCGAGGGGAGGAGGAATGGGGGGGGGTAACTCTGGAGCAACCAGCAGCAGAGAGCGCTCCGCAAGAAAATGCGGGAAACACAAGCGGGAAATATAAAAACTCAACAGGCAAGGGAGATTGGGGGGCAGGGGGCAACTGTGGGGGGCTGCACGGACACCCCACGCCCCCCCCCCCTTCCCAAGGGACATCGACCTCTGTGACCGAGCGTTCGCGAATTTTAAAAAGATTGAACAAAAAAAAAAGGATTATCCTCTCTTCCCCTCCCTCCCTCTCCCCCCCTCTCTCCCCCCTCTCTCCCTTTCTCTCTCCCTCCCCCTCTCTCTCTCTCCCCCTCTCTTTCCCCCTCTCTCTCCCTCCCTCTCACCTGCCTCCTCATCCAAATGCGCTGGACCGGATGGCGCAAATCTCCCAGTCATCGCCATGACGACGCTACACTCATCATCACGCCCCCCCCCTCCACCCCCGCTCCCCCCCCCGCCCCCCCGGGGGAGGAAGGGGAATGAGAGACGTTAACGATCCGTGGATCGGAAAATCAATCCCGACGCTCGCAATGCAAGCGTCGTCTTTCCGTGAGCGGGGAATCGATAGCTCGTGACGCGTGGAGTCTAGATCGACTCTGGCATGGAGTGTAGATTCACGCCGCTGTAGAGTCGTTAGTCTCACGTTGCTACAGATTCTATGGAATAATGCTGGTATAGAGTTTATATAACCACCACACTACAAACTCCATAGGTTGAGAACACGACTGGAGCTGCAGATCCACTCCAGTGTAGAACGCTAGAGACTGCAATGAATTGGGACACCGACCATGACCCTGAATCGTACCACCACCCTGAATCATGAATCGGGGGGGGGGGCTGGTAGGGAAGAGTGGTGGCGGCGTGGTTAGCGCGCGCTGCGGTACAAGTGCGGCAGCCCCGGTTTGATTCCGGGCCATGGCTAACATCAGCGGTGGTTTATCTGCTCCGGTCGGGAAGATGAAATATGGAAGAAAAAAAATGAATTCCCCATGACTGACCTGGACGTGGGGGGAGGGGGGGCCTTCATCCAGCAGTGGATTGACCAGCAGCTGTGAATGAGTTGTGCTCTGCTAAACTCCGACCGGTGACCCCGAGCCACGTGGCGGTGATCGCGATGACGACAACGATGACGATGAGGTCGTTACGTCTCTAAGCGGGGGTGGCAGCAGGGAGTGATGGCGGGGGTGGCAGTCGAGGGAGGCTGGAGATGGGTTTGGCAGGTCCGGCGGGCCGTGTGTGTGAGAGAGACGCTGTGTGTGTGAGAGAGACGCTGTGTGTGACAGAGACGCTGTGTGTGTGAGAGAAACGCGGGGTGGGTGGGGACCCGAGGGAGGGAGTCGCTGGGGGGGGGGGCGGGTGGAGGGGCAGACGCCACGTCACATGGGCAGACGCCACGTCACATGGGCAGGAGGTGGTCGTCCCTCTCCTCCTCCTCCTCGGCGCCGTCCCCATCGGCGCCGGTGCCCACCCCGCGGTACGCCGCCGCTTGGTTCTTCGGCTTGGAGCGGCACACGAAGTCGCAGCCGTCCTGCGGCACGACGACACGCGGCCATCGTCAGCATTGCCAGTCGCCGTCGGCGGCATCGTCGTCGTTGTCGTCATCGTCGTCATCATCGTCATCATTGTCGTTGTCGTCATCGTCGTCGTCATCATTGTCGTTATCATCATCGTCATCGTCGTCATCGTCGTCGTCATCGTCGCCATCGTCATCAGGATCATTGTCGTCATCGTCATCATCATCATCGTCGTCATCATCATCATCAGCATCGTCGTCGTCATCAACATCGTCGTCGTCATCATCAGCATCGCCGACGAGTTACAAGTTGAGATTGCTGTAGAAGCGTGGCTTGCAATCAAATGGCATTCATCGTCTTTGACCAATTCGCCCGGAGTGCGCGCCCCAGTCCCATGAAGATTCTGCAGACATCGCGGTGTAAACTGAAACTCTTTGTGGCTCAGCGAGCGCAGGTTTTACTCGCTCTCGGCGGGTTCGGTTTGTGCGATTTCGCACTGTAGAGTCATGTTGTCCTACAACGCGCGAGTCCATGACGCGAATTGGATATAACGCCATCGAGTGAATGGAACTACGTCACGCGAGTAGGAACGAGCAGATGTGCGGCTGCCTCGGCGAAGCATTATCACCACACAAGGTAGCGGGATGCTGCTGGATGCTTCTGGACGATACCCCCGCGCCTCAAGTCTTTGTTCGGCCTGCGTAAGCATTTCACGTGTTATCGTGGACTGTGCCTTGCACTACATTATTTATTATAACCCGATTTTTCCACAATGCGGTGGTCTTCAGGAACGCAACTTCCGCGCAAGAGAACTGACTTCAGATGCTGCGGCTGGAAATTTTCCACCCAAAATTGGCGATATTACGTGGTTTGAATTCACTCGCACGCAGATATGCGGTCGGACGTAGGACAACATTGTGTGTGTGTACTGTGTGTGTACTGTGTGTACACTGTGTGTGTACTGTGTGTGTGTAGTGTGTGTGCACTGTGTGTGTACTGTGTGTGCGTAGTGTTTGCGCGACTCGGCAGGCAGAAGTCTCACACAGACACATTCAATGTGTGGACTCTGTGTGTGTACTGTGTGTGTACTGTGTGTGCACTGTGTGTGCACTGTGTGTGCACTGTGTGTGTGTACTGTGTGTGTACTGTGTGTGTACTGTGTGTGCACTGTGTGTGTACTGTGTGTGTACTGAGTGTGTACTGAGTGTGCACTGTGTGTGCACTGTGTGTGCACTGTGTGTGTACTGTGTGTGTACTGTGTGTGTACTGTGTGTGTCCTGTGTGTGTACTGAGTGTGCACTGTGTGTGTACTGTGTGTGTGTGTACTGTGTGTGTGTGTACTGTGTAATGTGTGTACTGTGTAATGTGTGTACTGTGTGTGTGTACTGTGTGTGTACTGTGTGTGTACTGTGTGTGCACTGTGTGTGTACTGTGTGTGCACTGTGTGTGCACACTGTGTGTGCGCACTGTGTGTGCTACTCGGCAGGCAGCGGTCTCGCCGTGCGGTTTTGCTTTGTGCCCCCATTGTTTGGGATGCATCGACTACTCCTCCTACGTCCGGCCACCGCCGTGCAGAGCGAGGAAAACCGGCACGGGGCCGGCGTCTCTTGCTCCTCCAGCGGCCAGCAGCACATCACCCCGTGCGTAACGTCGCGTCTATATCCGTGTCCAGACGCGTGCGCGTCTTTGCACGTACTGTATGCGGCGTGTGTGTGCGAGCAGTCGTATAGGGGGGAGCCAGTAGTGTAGCGCTACGAACCTGGCGACCCTAGTTGGATTCCCGCTCACGGGCAATGCCAGTCAATATTATTCGGAGCTGGTCCTGGGCCTCCCCTGGGTCGACTCAGTCTCAAACGTGCACCTGGTGCAGTGTGTACACATCGTCACTAGGGAGACAAAGGCGGTCGGGCGTGGTGCTGGCCACCCACCCCCTCGTGTACCGTGCTAGCCTCAAAAAGTGCTCGCTAACAGCACTTGCCCCTACAGTCTTGTCTTTGTGCGTGCGTGTGCGTGCGTGTGCGTGCGTGTGCGTGCGTGTGCGTGCGTGTGCATGCGCGTACAGCCAGGATGTTGCCCAGGTTCTGCCAGAAGTGGTAGTTTGGGATTTGCTCTGCGCCCTTCGCTCCGACCACGAAGCGCTGGTACAGGAAACCGCCGAGCAGGTACACGGCGATAAGCACCAGCAACCTGCACGCACACAAAGACAACGGTCCCCCGTATAGCGTTAACAGACTGTTGGGGCAAGTGCTGTTCGTGAGCACATAAGGCCGGAATGGCACACGAAGGAGTGGGTGGCCAGCACCACACCTGGCCGCCTTTGTCTCCCCAGTGGCGATGTTTACTACACACCACACCAGGTACTCATTTGAGGCCGAGTCAAATAAGTAGGGCCCAGCACCGGTTTAGATAATCGTCAATGGTGTTGGCCGTGAGCGGGAATCGAACTCAGGTCGCCAGGTTCATAGTGCGGCACGCTAACCGTGACACTACCACTCCCCACCACTTCTCTCCTACGCACACACACACGCGCTCGCTCGCCCACTCTCTCATTCACTCGCCCGCCTGTCTGCCCGCCCACCCGCTCGTCCATCCTCTCACTTGCTCACCTTTCGCTCGCCCACTCATCCATCCACCCAATCGTCTCCCCGACTCATTAGCTCCGGTGTCCCTCCACCCTTTCACTCACTCGCCCATTCGAACATCGCTCATTCACTTATTTTTTACTCTCACTCGATTCCTCACGAACGCATCCGCTGACCCACTCGCTGACGCCACACCTCTCACCCGATCTCTCCCCAAGCCACACTCTCTCTAACCCCATGCATCCATTCGCATGGCCATCTCCCTGCATTGTCATCTAACCCGCTTGCTCCCTCCCTCCTCACCCTTCTCTCTCCCTCTATCCCACCCCCCTCTCTCGCATGCCGCCCCCCCCCCCCGCCCGCACTCACACGATGAAGATGATGGCGCCGGCTCCGAGGCCGCTGCCCTGGTCGTTGCAGGCCACCGAGCTGCTCATCTCAAACAGATAGAAGCAGTCGGCGTCCTTCTCCCGCTCCTCGCTCACGATCGTCAGCTGACTCTGCACACGCGCGCAAAGGGTGCTGAGGGTGGCGATGATGGTGGACTGTGTGTGGCTGCGCGTGATCACGGCGACTGTGCGCGGTTGCGTGTGATTGCACGCGATTGCGCGTGGTTACGGGACTGTGCGGTTGCGTGTGATCAAGGGGACCGCACGCAGTTGCGTGTGATTGCACGTGATTGCGCGTGGTTACGGGACTGTGTGCGGTTGCGTGTGATTGCGTGTGATTGCGTGTGGTTGCATGTGATTGCACGCGATTGCGCGTGGTTACGGGACTGCGTGTGATTGCGTGTGGTTGCGTGCGATTGCGTGTGATTGCACGCGATTGCGTGTGGTTACGGGACTGCGTGCGGTTGTGGGCCAGAGCGCGATCGCGAACTGCTGCACGCACGGCCAGCCTGTAGGGGTCGCAGGAGATCATGACCATGGCCTTGCGCTTCTCCGAGTGGCAGTGGGTGTCGTAGGCCTCGCCACCCTTGTAGATCAGCAGGATCCAGTCGACTGTGCGCACAGGCAGCATATGGGGGTCAGAGTTCGGAGTCAGGGACCCGAGTCGCAAACAGGACGTCACGCGGACGTTTCACGCGCGCCGGATCATACATCGCGAGGGTTACCGTCACCTCCTGCTAAACAGACGGATGAAAGGAGCTCGCACGCCGACGCCTTCAGCACGAGTGAGGAGTGTGTCGACAAGGAGACAAAAGAGAAACCGATAGATTCTAGAGTCAAATCGAGGGGCAGCGGCGCTGCTGCTGCTGCCCAGCGGTGGCACGTTTGCCAGTTCGCTGCGAAGCGTCGCGGTTTGAATCCAGAGGGCCGCCCTCGTGGTTAATGCTGCGCTAAGGTGGCAAGATGTTAACCACCTCGCCTGGTCTACAGGAGGTCGTGGGTTCAATCCCGACCCCGACGCCTGCTGCTATATATTTGGAGTTTGCTGTGTCTCTCTTCCTGGTGGTCGCGTGGATTTTTCTCCGAATCCTCTGGTTTTTCCCCTCCACATTTAGAATCAACATCACACGTTTAGAGTGTTTGGCTGCCATAAATGCCCACGCGATAAGCCACTTTGTTGAGCTATCATTAGTGATAGCCAGGTCGCTTCTGAAAAAGAGCTACATTGCTCAGGGTGCCTTACCTGGTAAAAAAAAATGTATAGTTCAAATTTTTTTTTTAGGTGAACTCAACTTTTTAAAAACTACTCGGCGTTAAAGATCCCATGGCTTATAATATATATAAATAGCATTTGTAAGGCATATTTCATCCAAGAATCCCAATGCGCCAGCACCGTGTATGGAAAGCATGGAAGTAAGACCGAGCCAGCGGCCATTTCAAAGAGGTGAGTTTTCAGGGCAGATTTAAATAGCGCTCAAGATTCCGATTGTGTTATTAATCATCAGAGGCCAACGCGTTCCACAGTCTTGGAGCCGCACTGGCAAGAGCCCCGATTCACCCCAGGAACGGAGCCTTGACCTTGTAATACTGAGGAGGAGATCACAAGATCTCAAGGACCTCATTGCTGATGTCACGGTCCGAATTTGCAAATTAATTCCCAAATAAAATTACAACACCGCAAATGACTCAGTTGGCATGGATTCCATATCACGGTGTCGTCCCCCGTCTCCTGCACGCCTACTTGCAGACTGTGTTGTGAATCACAGCAGCGCCTTCCTTCGTGACGAGAGCCTCACGCTAGCATTACAGTTGGCTACGTGCAGAGCGAAAGAAGTTCAACATACATACGTAAGAATGACAGCAGCAACGACATTATTACTTAGTCCCCCGGTTGTACAGGAGGACGTGGGTTCGATCCCGACCCTGGCGCCTGTTTATTTGGAGTTTGTGTGTTCTCCCCGTGGACGCGTGGATTTTTCTCCAGGTCCTCCGGTTTTTCCCTCGACATTTATAAACATCCGATTAGAGTATTTAGCTGTTTATAAATTTCCACATGATGACCCACTTTGTCAAGCTATCATTTGTAATAGCCAGGTCGCTTCTGAAAAAGAGACATATAGCTTAGTGGGCTTTACCGAGAGATGATCCATGAATGTGATCGAGGGATTGGGGGATACAGGATTGGGAATGGAGGGGGGGGAATACAGGACTGGGTGGGTGCAGGACACATAATTGGGGGTGTGGGTTGACTCACGGCCGCCGATGAGGTGCGTCTCATTGGTCCGCCCAATGATGGTCTGGGCTCCCTTGGCGTCGCGCTGCACCAGTCCCGCAGTGGCGGGGGCCCCGGCCACGGAGTCGCACACGCGCATCGTGTAGTTGTAGGTTTCGCCATCCGACTCGTAGCTCGAAATCAGTCTGCACGCCAACACGCACAAGTACACGCACAAGTACACGCAACGCTCGTGAAAAAGGCATTGAGAGCGCACGCTCATTGTTGACTTGCGGGCACATTCACACGAGTGTGCACAGTTGGCATGGGCACACAAAGTTCCCTCCGTTAACAAACTGTTGGGGCAAGTGTTGTTATAGCGAGCACCTATGAAGGCCTGTATAGCACTCGAGGGGGTAGGTGGGTGGTAAGCACTACGCTGCCTTGGTCTTCTTAGTGACAATGTTTACACACTGCCGGGTTGACCTAGTGGAGGCCCAGGACTGGTTCATCTCATCATCATTGGTGTTGGCTGTGATAACACATTCATTGACATGTGGCCACACATACACATTAACACGTTGGCACAGTTGGCATGCACACAACACCAAGAGCCGCCATTCACCACTGAGTGGTGGTGACATCACCACAGCAGTTGTGCCAGGCCAGGTGCACTTTGAGGCCACGTGAAGTGTCGAAGGGTCGCTGACAGGAGGTCACGGGACAGACCCAGGTGCCATGGGTTGAAGCACTGAGATGACTGGCAGAATTTTTTTTTTCCCAGGCAAGGTCCACTGAGCTGTTAAGCTCTTTTTAAATCCTTTATATTGTTCGCTTGCTTGCTTGCGTGCTTGCTTGCTTGCTTACGACCGTGCAAATCTTTTGGTCGTTTTTTAACCCACTTCCCGTGATCCAATCGAGCTGACATTTTCCAAAATTTTACACTGTTTAGGGAAAACTAAATAAATATTTTATTACCAATTGCTTAATGCTGGCAGACAATCATCTGACCCATAGGTGGCAGCCATCTCAAGCCAGAGGACGAGAGGACTCTATCCGCCACGCATATAAAGGATTTAGAGTGAAAAACTTTGTTTTTACGGGTTAATTTTTGAAAAGCAACATGGCCACAAATGAGCTAAGCGAAGTGGCTCATCACGTGCACATTTATACCAGTTAGATACTCCGAACACATATTTATAAATGTGGAGGGGAAAACCGGGTGACGTAGAGTAAAATTCACGCTACCACGGGGAGAACATGCAAACTCCAAATACATAGGTGTCCAGGTCGGGATCGAACCCATAACCTCCTGTATACCAGGCGAGGTAGTTAACATCTCGCCACCGTGGCAAGTTGGCACAGTAGGGGGGACCAGATGTGCCCCCTACTTGGCCCCACCCGGCCCTCCGCTCATTGTTGTGAGCATCATTCCTTTGTCCTCCGTTGTTGTTGTTGGAGGGTGACTGCCTGCAAATGCCTAGTAGCGTCCTTCACGAGCCTCCTCCATAGAGGCCGATCTTGACACCGCTGGTGCCAGTGTTCGTCAATTCCACTCAAGTCCACATCATCTTGTACCGCATCAGTCCATCTCTTTTCCAGCCCGTGCCATGCCCGTTTAGCCCCCTCTATCTGGTCAAATAGAAGCTGTTTGGGCATGCGGTGGCTGGGTATGTGGGCAACATGACGCGTACCCTTAACAGACTGTAGGGGCAAGTGCTGTTGGCGAGCACCTATGAAGCAGGTACGGCACATGAGGTGGTGGGTGGCCAACACCACGCTCGGCCGCCTTTGTCTCCCTAGCAATTATGTTTACACACCGTACCAGGTACTCATTTGAGGCCGAGTTGACCTAGGGGAGACCCAGGACCGGTTCAAATAATAATTGTCCGTAAGCGGAAATTGAACTCGGGTCGCTGGGTTCGTAGCGCATCGCGCTAGCCACAACACATGCGTGTCCACACGAACACACGCACAAATAGGAGGCTTGCACACACAGGGGCACAACAAACTCGCCTTCCCGACACTGGCGTTACCATTAACCACTCTAGCCAGTCAGACACGAGCCCTACCACTCACCACACGAGTCAGACACGAGCTCTACCACTAAGCACACGAGTCAGACACGAGCCCTACCACGAACCACACGAGTCAGACACTAGCCCCAAGCCACACTTGCCAACCAGACTACAGCCCTTCCCCCAACCACCACACTCAGCCGCTGGGAATCGGGGGGGGGGCGGGGCACGTGACTGCCCGTCCATGATGAGGAAGTGTCGCCTCGAAGTAGGAAGGCGGGGGAACGAACCGCGTTGGGCAGAGGCAGAAACCCCGTGGATCCCGGTAACCCAGCGATAGCATTCAGGAGGAAGGGCGAAGCCCATTCTCTAACTCAGCCGCCCCACGCTGGAGGGGGGGGGGGGGGTGACGCAGTCGTTCCGCTCAGAATTAGGGGCCCGGGACGGCCTACTCAAATCCACATCGAGATCCCAAGAACCACAACCCTCGAGCCCCAAGTTTCCTTGAACCACGGTTCATACGGGAACCCCCGAGTCCCGGTGACTAGTCCGAATTTGTCACATGAGTCTCCAGGAACCGTGATCCCCTGAGTCAACACTGGAGGACATCTGTGAAAGACAGCTTTATAGCTCATCGCTTTTGGTGGACTCGACATCACAGGGACGTCGCGGTGGCTGTGAGATGTTAACTACCTCGCCTGGTATACAGGAGGTCGTGGGTTCGAGCCCGACCCTGACGCCTGCTGCTGCTGTATATTTGGAGTTTGCGTGTATCTCTCCCCGTATTCGGGTGGATTTTTCTCCGGGTCCTCCCGCTTTCCCCTCTATTTTAGAAACATTTACACGTGAGAAGCCGTCTTCGTTGCGCTATCATTCGTGTCCAGGTCCCTTCTGAAACAGAATTGTCCGTCTCAGTGAGCCTTGCCTGGCAATAGTAAAGACTGTTTTTAGTTTTCACTGCGAGTCCCCGTGATCCCAAATCCCCCAAGAACCCCCAAGTCTTCAGATTCCCCGTGATCCTAAATCCCTTAAGTCATCAGATTCCCCGTGACCCCAAATCCCCCAAGAACCCCCGTGACCCCAAATCCCCCAAGTCCTCAGAACCCACAGGACCCATCGGGGGTCTCCGCGAGGCCCCCTTTACCCCCAAAGTACCCCCCACACCCTCAAGGCCCCGCTTTACATTCCCCAGCGCGGATAAGTGCGAACGCGTCTCGTGCCGGCCGCGTGGTCCAACGGCGAGCGCCGTTACACGCAGCCTCCGTGCCGCTCGACCAATGGGAGCGCGCGTCTGTGGCGGGGCGAGGGAGGGGGGGGCGAGTCCACAGGGGGCCGGCGCATCCGCGCTGGGAATTGCACTCACGTTGTGCCGCGCAGAGGCTCGAGCCGGGCGAGCAGCTGGGCCTCGCGGTCGGACGGCTTCCCGGACTTGGTGGTGAGCGTGCAGCCCCCCGGGGTCTGCGCCGACACCGTCGAGAGGAGCGGCAGCAGCAGCGGCAGGAGGAGGAGAGAGCGCAGCGGCAGCGGAGCCTCCATGCCTCCCATTCTCGTTGTTGACACCGACTGGCGCGTCACGTGCTCGTGATGCACAGTAGCGGAAGTTGTGCGGGCGGGGGAAGTGACGTCAGTCCATCAGCGGACATGTTGGGTAGGGGAGTGGTGGGAGAAAGGTGGTGGTTAAGGAAGACGGACATGTTGGGTAGGGGGGTGGTGGTTCAATAGAAAGGTGGGGGTTCAATAGAAAGGTGGGGGTTAATGAAGGCGGACATGTTGGGTAGGGGGGATGGTGAAATAGGAACGTGGGGTTAAGAAAGGCGGACATGTTGGGTAGGGGTATGGTGAAATAGGAACGTGGGGTTAAGGCGGACGTGTTGGGTAGGTCAATTAGGAACGTGAGTTTAAGGGGGACGTGTTGGGTAGGGGGGTGGTGAAATGGGAACGTGGAGTCAAACGAAACTCGGCACGTTAGAGGTTATGTCTTCCCATCAGCCCAACCAAAATCTGAGCACCTGCCTGGGTAGTTTGTGCCATCAAATCCTCCACCCCCTCAACTCACTCCCCATTGGTGATGGAGCAGTTGTGGAGAGAGTGCAGAGTTTTTTTCCGTATGGGCTGACACGTCATTACAGAATATCATAAAATGGGGTTTCTTTTGAAGCTGAGCACTAATCAATATTAACTAAGTATAATGCATATGTTCATATCAAATTAATGCCAGTATGTCGAATAACAATACAACTACAGTAGACTCTCGATTATCGGTGCTAATGATGGAGAGGATGGCCGCAGATAGTTCTCCGGTCTCACACTTTGAGACTAGGCTCAAAGAAAGCTGTCTCTGGTGTGGACCAATCAGTTTCCAAGACAATACATATATTATCGGAGCATGTTTTTTTGCATGTGTAGTGGCACAGCGCCGACTGCTGTACAGCACCAGCAACTGCGGTGGACACTTAGTGCACACGCCGCTGAGCATATACACGGTGTGTGTGTGCCAGCAGGGCGGAGGAACTGGGGCAAGGGTCACGGTAGGCCTCGTGGGGAGGCTCCTGGAACCCTCTGGAGGGTTCGAGAAGGGAGGCGCGGCTAGGGCGGAGCCAGGCCGCGCCGAGGGGAATAAAAGCAGCGGAGAGCGAGAGCTCCGGGCTGCCGGTTCTGGGAGTGGACTCGTCTCGTCGTCGCTGTCGTCGTTCCCGCCTTTGTTGCTGCCGCCTTCGCCCGATCATTGCGCGGCCTGACAGTAGTTGGCTGTCTCGGTCGACACCGTCGGTGTAACGCGGTCAGGGTCGTGTCTGGGTCGGGCTGTACGGCAGCGTGGTCGTGAGAGAGGAGGCCGGAGTTGGTGGTGTGAACGAGATTATAAAGAGAGACGGTGCCTCCTGCAACTTCCTCGTCTCCGACTGAGTGTGCGCGCCGCACACCACACGCATACACACCACATGCACACCACACGCACACACACCACACGCACACATACACCACACACACGCCGCGAGGAAGGAGGACACTAGACATGTTCACCACAAGTACGTGTGGTTAATGCAGACATGATTCCTTGAAAAAAGGATAATGTTTGGTGGTTTAACATGTAAACACCTGTTTTATTCTTGATTTGAAGCATTCGTGACTGCAGGAATCCATACTCTTTGGTTCTTTCAGTAAAGCCACGTATGTAGAACAGATAATAGATCACGACGTTTCGATCGCAACACAAGCAACCGTCATCAGGTGTGAAATAAGCAGCAGGAGGACTGCTGATGTAGGAGAAAGAGCTGCTGCAACAAGAGTTTATATAGGATTTTTTGTGGGCCCACCCCAAGGGTAAGTGGGCGGAGCTAGAGAAGGAATTTGCACGTAAATCTTGATGTGAAGCTGTAAATGTGAGAGATTAGTATGTCAATGTGAGACGGCCCAGCCACCGGAGGCGTGACAATGAGAAGATTGGCGTGTCAATGTCAGAGAGCCGGGCAACAGGAACAAAACACCCTCAGAGCAAGAGGTACACATAATGAGAGAGACACAGAGAGACACACAGAGAGTCGGAAATAACAGCTGACATAGGCAGGTAGGATGGAAACATCACAGTCAGTTAAGACTTTACTTGGTTAATAACGCCCTTCCAATGATTGCTCAGTTTGTACCCATCTTCTCGGTTTAAGTTGTGTCTGTGTTTATATATCTGGATGGCTTCATGAACAAATCTTTGAAGGTAGCCGGTGGGTTTGCAGAGTACCTTCGTCTTGTAATAAGTATAACCCGTAAAAACAAAGTTTTTCACTATAAATCCTTTATATGCGTGGCGGTTAGAGTCCTCTCGTCCTCTGGCTTGAGATGGCTGCCACCTATGGGTCAGATGATTGCATTGCACCATTAAGCAATTGGTAATTAAATATAATATTTTTGTCCTAAAAAGTGTAAAATTTAGGAAAAAAAATTTCACGAACATTAATTGTCACGCACAACGAGTTTGTGTGGAAAATGTCAGCTCGATTGGATCACGGGAAGTGGGTTAAAAAACGACCGAAAGATTTGCACGGTCCTAAGCAAGCAAGCGAACTTAATATAAAGGATTTTAAAATAAATTTCGTGTGAGCCCACAGCATTAAGACAATGATCAGCAGTGGCAGAGGTATTGGTCCTACCGTGTTTCAGATCTGCCTTGTGTTCGCGAACACGGTCCGAGACATGTTTCGTTTCCCCAATGTAACTGCTGCCGCAGCCACATCTTAGTTTGTAAACACCAGGCATGTCAGAAATCATATCCTTTACAGATGGGATCAAATCACGGATTTTGTGTACAGTGTTCAAACGAACCTGGATTTTGTGTTTGTTTAAGATTTTGGAAATATTTTTGGTAACCCCTGCTATACATGGAAAAGTGATGGTTTTGATTGGATCCTCAGATGGTTGTCTCCCCATAGCTGGGGAGACAGCTTTGCGGATTGTACGGTCAGAATATACATTCATCCTGAGGGCTTGGTGGACGTGCTCCAGCTCACTGGCTAGGTCAGCGGTCGGGAACCTATGGCTCGCGAGCCATATATGGCTCTTCCAGTGACGGCATATGGCTCCCAGACAATTTTGAGTAGAAAAAATAATTTTAAAAAATCTGTTTGTAACTGATTTTAAAATAATTGTGATATTACTTAATAATACTGTGTCATTTTAAAGTGAACAGAAATTAGTTTTGAAGATAAATTTCACGGGTCACGCCTGCATGAAGCTCAACCTCACCACGTATGAACCAGACTACAAGGCCATCAGCAAAACCACGCAGCACCAGACGTCGCATTAAAAGTAAGACATATTTAATTTATTATACGTTAAAAATACTATATGGCTCTCAATGAAATATATTTAGAAATATTTGGCTTTTATGGCTCTCCCAGTCAAAAAGGTTCCCGACCCCTGGGCTAGGTGGTGCTGGTCAGAGATGCAACGGGCCCGTAGAGTGACGTCACGCGCGTGACACACTGACAGTTAAAGAGTGGCCATAGGTAATGTTTATTAGGAGATAACACAACAAAATCGTAAATAATCGAGTTCAATCGACACGTAAACAAAACAGCATTGTTATAATGATAGAATGCCTGTCAACCCATACGGTTTACCCATATTCTTGTACAGGGAAATTGAGTTAAAACTATTTTTGTGTTTCTCCCTTGTGATGGGACTTTGTAGGATGAACGTTGAGATTTATAAGGGCACGGGGTGACCAATAAGACATGAATTGGTCTGCACTAAGGGGCTGACAAGAGCCGAATGGCTCACAGAGCTATGCCAAATGAATGAAACTAATGTAATTGGCACGTTTTGTTGACGTGACAAACCTTTAACTAATTTTCTGCGTCGGGCGGCGGCGGTTTAACGACACATATTTACGCGATGGAACCCAATTTTTTTTTTTTAAATCCGTCCCCTTTGTTATGGTTAATCGATGATTGTCGAAGTCCTAATAAAACTTCTCCCTTCCCAACATGGAGGGCGCACGACGCCGTCCACTTAGACCCGTCCCTACCCAAAATGGCCGCGACCGGGGCAACGCGTGGGTGGCTTCCGGGTAAGGATGGGCGTGGCTTCGGGGGGGGGGGGTAATGGGCGTGGCTTCCGGTGTGGGGAGGGGGTTTGTTTTTTTGGCGGGAAAGACGATGGCGGCCGAGGAGGACGACGAGTCGCGGATGGAGTTGGAGCAGGTGAGGTGCAGTTCTCTGAGGGGGGAGGGAGGGAGGGGAGCTGAAGAAGATACAAACATTTCACCTCACACTTCTCCAACAGCTGGCTATCATCCACATCTTTCATTATTTTGGGTAAACAACAAACTCTGTTGTGTCCCTCTGACACAACTTTCTGTACACATCTTGGCATCATTTTTTGTTTACGATTTACAACATACCGCTGTATGTAAAGCGGAAAGTATGTTTTTTCAATCACTACTGTACACAGTATTACCTACCATGGCATACAGCGGAGTATTTGTCATATATCGTCAACGTAAAAAAGTGCTATGAAGAAAGCTTCATTGGCCGAAACGTCGCCTCTTACCTTTTAAGCTCTCGTGTACACACAATGCTGTTGACAAATGTCTTAAAACTCTGTTGCAATTAAGATTGACCGTAAGAAAGCGTTCATGAATCAATCACAGCATAACCAATTTAAATAATATATATCACTTGATTAAATATGGAGAACTCGATTCAGTTACTCACCCGGTGAGGAAAACTCGATTCAGTTACTCACCTGGTGAGGAGAACTCGATTCAGTTACTCACCCGGTGAGGAGAACTCGATTTAGTTACTCACCTGGTGAGGAGAACTCGATGTAGTTGCTCACCTGGTGAGGAGAACTCGATTTAGTTACTCACCTGGTGAGGAGAACTCGATTTAGTTACTCCCCCGGTGAGGAGAACTCGATTTAGTTACTCTCCTGGCGAGGAGAACTCGATTCAGTTACTCTCCTGGCGAGGAGAACTCGATTCAGTTACTCACCCGGTGAGGAGAACTCGATTCAGTTACTCACCTGGCGAGGAGAACTCGATTCAGTTACTCACCTGGTGAGGAGAACTCGATTCAGTTACTCACCTGGCGAGGAGAACTCGATTTAGTTACTCCCCCGGTGAGGAGAACTCGATTCAGTTACTCACCTGGTGAGGAGAACTCGATTCAGTTACTCTCCTGGCGAGGAGAACTCGATTCAGTTACTCACCCGGTGAGGAGAACTCGATTCAGTTACTCACCTGGCGAGGAGAACTCGATTCAGTTACTCACCTGGTGAGGAGAACTCGATTCAGTTACTCACCTGGTGAGGAGAACTCGATTCAGTTACTCACCTGGTGAGGAGAACTCGATTCAGTTACTCACCTGGTGAGGAGAACTCGATTCAGTTACTCACCCGGTGAGGAGAACTCGATTCAGTTACTCACCTGGTGAGGAGAACTCGATTCAGTTACTCACCCGGTGAGGAGAACTCGATTCAGTTACTCACCTCGTGAGGAGAACTCGATTCAGTTACTCACCTGGTGAGGAGAACTCGATTCAGTTACTCACCTGGTGAGGAGAACTCGATTCAGTTACTCACCTGGTGAGGAGAACTCGATTCAGTTACTCACCTGGTGAGGAGAACTCGATTCAGTTACTCACCTGGTGAGCAGAACTCGATTCAGTTACTCACCTGGTGAGCAGAACTCGATTCAGTTACTCACCTGGTGAGGAGAACTCGATTCAGTTACTCACCCGGTGAGGAGAACTCGATTCAGTTATTCACCTGGTGAGGAGAACTCGATTTAGTTACTCACCTGGTGAGCAGAACTCGATGTAGTTGCTCACCTGGTGAGGAGAACTCGATTCAGTTACTCACCCGGTGAGGAGAACTCGATTTAGTTACTCACCTGGTGAGGAGAACTCGATTTAGTTACTCACCTGGTGAGCAGAACTCGATGTAGTTGCTCACCTGGTGAGGAGAACTCGATTCAGTTACTCACCCGGTGAGGAGAACTCGATTTAGTTACTCACCTGGTGAGGAGAACTCTATTTAGTTACTCACCCGGTGAGGAGAACTCGATTTAGTTACTCTCCTGGTGAGGAGAACTCTATTCAGTTACTCACCTGGTGAGGAGAACTCGATTCAGTTACTCACCCGGTGAGCAGAACTCGATTTAGTTATTCACCTGGTGAGGAGAACTCGATTTAGTTACTCACCTGATGAGGAGAACTCGATTCAATTACTCACCCGGTGAGCAGAACTCGATTTAGTTATTCACCCGGTGAGGAGAACTCGATTTAGTTACTCACCTGGTGAGGAGAACTCGATTCAGTTACTCACCTGGTGAGGAGAACTCGATTCAGTTACTCACCTGGTGAGGAGAACTCGATTCAGTTACTCACCTGGTGAGGAGAACTCGATTCAGTTACTCACCTGGTGAGGAGAACTCGATTCAGTTACTCACCTGGTGAGGAGAACTCGATTCAGTTACTCACCTAGTGAGCAGAACTCGATTCAGTTACTCACCCGGTGAGGAGAACTCGATTCAGTTACTCACCTCGTGAGGAGAACTCGATTCAGTTACTCACCTGGTGAGCAGAACTCGATTCAGTTACTCACCTGGTGAGGAGAACTCGATTTAGTTACTGACCTGGTGAGGAGAACTCGATTTAGTTACTCACCTGGTGAGGAGAACTCGATTTAGTTACTCACCTGGTGAGCAGAACTCGATTCAGTTACTCACCTGGTGAGGAGAACTCGATTTAGTTACTCACCTGGTGAGGAGAACTCGATTTAGTTACTCACCCGGTGAGCAGAACTCGATTTAGTTATTCACCTGGTGAGGAGAACTCGATTTAGTTGCTCACCTGGTGAGGAGAACTCGATTTAGTTACTCACCTGGTGAGGAGAACTCGATTCAGTTACTAACCCGGTGAGGAGAACTCGATTTAGTTATTCACCTGGTGAGGAGAACTCGATTTAGTTGCTCACCTGGTGAGGAGAACTCGATTTAGTTATTCACCTGGTGAGGAGAACTCGATTTAGTTGCTCACCTGGTGAGGAGAACTCGATTTAGTTACTCACCTGGTGAGGAGAACTCGATTCAGTTACTCACCTGGTGAGGAGAACTCGATTCAGTTACTCACCTGGTGAGGAGAACTCTATTTAGTTACTCACCTGGTGAGGAGAACTCGATGTAGTTCCTCACCCGGTGAGGACTCAAGTGAGTGATTCATTATTTTGTGTAATATATTTTGCGTAACATATCAACATAAAGTGCTATGAAGAAGTGCCTATTCATTACCCATTGTGGATTAATGACATATTTACGCGATCTCACCCAAAATAAACGTGATTGTGAACTAGTTTATCATGAAGCCTGTCTTCACCATGCAAAGGTTTTTTAAAATAAATATAATAATGAACCTGATTTTTTTACACTTTTTATCGACGATCAGACACTTAAAAATACTAAAAAAAGTTATTTTTCCAGCAATAAACTAATTGTCGACTTGATTCAACTTATATTTTAAAACGTACACATCGGAAACCCGCTCCATTTCAATATTCCGTTCTTTATTAGAAAGAACAAAAATGAATGAATTTAATCTGATGAAGGAAAGCGCCTATCTTTTACCATTTTCGAATTGTTAAGATTTGAACATCATAAAATTCGTATTTTTTCCGTTCAAAAACCACATGAATCCGCAATATCTCCAAAACAATAAAAGATAGAACAATGGTTCTCGCTTTAATTTGATTTGCTGTTTAACGCCGCATGGGGCACTTAAAATCGAGATTTGAGGGGCTTAAAATAAACATTTTGGTTTTTCATATTTTCCTGTGGTTTGTGTCCTAAACGCTACCTATGCACCACATTTCAGCTTTCTACCCTGTCGGGAAGTATCCTAGAGGTTTTTGAGACCTACAGATTAAGGTCTTCATTTAGATTGGTCGCGAAAGCCTACGTGTTGAATTGTAAGAGTGAGCTGTTGATGAGACCCAGAACGTTGGAACTGGATCCAGAGTTTGCTTGCTTCAATAAGAAATGTTTGCTGCTGCTGCCGGATAATATTGGTCTGAAAGCAAAGAAGGCTGATGGACTCAGACACATTATTGCAGTTGTAATGTTATTCGTAATATGTTTAAAAGTGATTGTTTCAACGTTGAGATCACAAACGTAGACACGGACGCAACAATATGCAGCACCGAATGTACAAATGCTCTCTAATGCGCACTCCTGATAACACAGGTTATAAGATTTGCGCGTTTATAAATATACAGTAGAACCTCGGAAATCGAACGCACCAGAATTCGAACAAATCGGTGTTCGAACGATATTCCGAACATTTTTTGCCCCAGAAACCGAACGAAATTCGGAGGTCGAACGGGCAATCGTAACTTGTAAGAACCTGTACGGCTGAGACGCGTATGGCCAGCGTGCATGACACTTGCCCAGACACAAGTTTAACCACCTCCTCCTCACCACCTTCCACTCAAACCATCAACTCTCCTTACTACAGGTCAAGTGAAGTTCAATGTTCATTTATTTCATTTATTCCATATACTTATTCATTTATTTATTGTTCCTTGTTTTTTTGTATGATTTTATGCATGTAATTACTGTAAACTTAGTGTAAAAATGCTTTATAATGAGAGATTTCTTGTGTCTGGAACCAATTAATGTCAATAACATTAATTCTTATTGGGAAAATTAATTCGGTTTTAGAACAAATCGGTGTTCGAATGGCCATCTGGAACGAATTAAGTTCGATCTCCGGAGTACCAGTGTGCTTACATTCTCAGCCTTATTCAGATCGCCAGCTCAAAAAAAAACGAATGTCTAGCCAAACATTTTCTAAACTCTTAGGTTGTTGGTCTGACGATGGCGATCACACATTCAGTTCCCTTGAGTTGATTGTCTGGATACGGATGAGTGAGACCTTTTGTACGTGCAATGCACAACTTTGTGGCAGTATTAAAGCCATTCGTTTCCAGCCTGAATTTGTATCCTCTTGTGATGGGTTTACTCGTCATTGACAGGCTTGAATTGTGGAGGCACTTGACAAGGATGTTTCGGGCTCAGACCGTTAATCCACCTTATTAAATCTCAGTGAGCTAAGCAGCTCCTTTCCACCATAAGCTATTGAAAAGAAGCTTGAAATGCATAAAGAAACGTGACATCCGTGCTTGGAAATGACACGGAGAGGCAGGAAGAGGAGCACATGGGAGTAGAGAACACATATCACGTTGAGTGTTAAGGAAATTTCAGTATACAACTTTTGGATGCTGGATTAATACAGTGTTCCCTCGTTATTCGCCAGGAATACATTCCGGAGAAGTTCGTGAATAGCAAATGTCGTGGATAATGATATTAACCTACGAATATTGTACACACACCATCTGCAGATGTTTCTAAAGCTTAGAGAAGTTTCTTCTCTCTCATCTCTTTATCTCATTACTTAATCTCATCACTTTATCTCTCATCACTTTATCTCTCATCACTTTATCTCTCATCACTGTATCTCTCATCACTGTATCTCATATCACTGTATCTCATATCACTGTATCTCATCACTTTCTGTTTATCGATGAAGTCGTGTAGAGTTCCAGATGGGATTCGCGGATAGCAAGTTCCTGAATGACGGGGGAATACAGCACAATGTAACTGATATTGGCCAAACATCCCCAATGCTGAAACATTTCTTGAAAATTACTCATTTGGGATGGCACAGATCAGCAACATTGCCACCTCTTGCAAAACTTTGGCGGGATTCTCCTGCAAAAAAGTCTTGAGAGTCATTGAGGCAGCAACGATCGGATTCAATCTGCGAACAAATTAAGCAGACGATTGGTATCCTTTAGTTTAACACATAGGCTTTCGCGACCAATAGTATCCATAATAGATCGCGTAAATATAAATGTGTCGTTAAACCCGCCACCACCCGACACAGCCATTTAATAAGGTTTATCATGTAAACCAAACGTCAATTCATTACGAGTTCACCACACCATGTCTGTTTCTCCCCATGAAAACAGAAACATTTGTTTTAACACATCCCATCAGCCACACGTGTACACAACCTGGCTATAGCATGTATGTTTGTCTGGACTATGTATCTGTATGGGTTGTGAGTGTGAGCTATGTGTATGTGCCTGTGTGCGTAGGGGAGCGGTAGTGCAGTGGTTAGCGCACTGCACTATGAACCCGGAGACCTGAGTTCGATTCCCACTCAAGGCCAACAATTATCTGAACCGGTCCCAGGGCTCACCTAAGTCGTCTCAGCCTCAAATGAGTACCTGGTACGAGAGACAAATGCGGCCGTGCGTGGTGCTGGCCACCCACCCCCTGGTGTGCTGTGCCGGCCTTCCTAGATGCTTGCTAACAGCACTTGCCCCAACAGTCTGTTAAGGCTACAGGGGGGGGAGTAACGTGATTTGTGTGCATGTGCGTGCATGTGCGTACAGCGAGGATATTGCCCAGATTCTACCAGAAGTGGTAGTTTTGGGATTTGCTCTGCGCCAACAGTCTGTTAAGGCTATACAGGGGATCTTTGTATGACCTACACAATGTATGACCTACACAATGTATGTATAGGTTAAGTGCCTGTGTGGGCTATGTCTGTGAGCTTCGAGAATCTCTTCTCTGACTCTCTCCTGGTGCCAGCGTCTGCGTGCCGCCGTGCACTACACGGTGGAACGTGTGTTGGAGGAGGAGGGGGAAAAAGCCGGCCTCAGCTTCAACCGCCAGGTGGTGGCCGCCATCGCTGAGACCACCTTCCACCAGTGCAGTGCGTGAGGCCGGCCCCAGCACACAGAGATGTCACACACACAAAACATCATAACACAGAGAGCACATGCAGCATGCTATGCCGCGCAGATGGTTTCTGATGAGAGACCACAACTTCTCCTGTTTGATTGTCCCAGAATATCACCCCATGGCATTTGTGTCTGCAAGTATACGTGTGGGTAGGTGGGTTTTTACGCCTTTGTGTGTGTCTGTGTTTGTCATTGTGTGTGTGTGTGTATATATATGTTCATGGGTAATTCACATGACCTTGGTGCATAGGAAACGCAGAAGCAAAAAAACAGCAGTAACAACAATCGTAACAACAACAACACCTTGCTATGGTGACGCTGCGACTTCTGCTGCTGCCCGGCTGCTTGCGGCCAGACTGTGCTCTCGCGGAACTGGCTGAGTGAGTTGAGCGGCAATGCCTCTTTTCCCTGGAGAATGGAGGGTCATACCGGGAAACTTCTCTTGGCTTGGATCGACAAACCAATTCTGTCTCACCCAAACGTCGCCGACACTGGTTGGACTCGACAGCATACTCGGCCCAGCATCCAACGTGCAGAAGGGAGTGCTGATTGGCTGACTTTAAAGTTCAAACAACTTGTTCCACATCCACTGTGCTACGATCTGCTGTGGAAATGCTGACCCCTACCAGACCGTGTTTGTCACTTGTTGGAATCCCCCACACATGGTTGTGCTGTAGATTTGGTCCGTTCTTCATCCGCCCTACATCCACACGAGCACAAAAGAGCGCCTTCATGGCCATACTGCTGCTGATGTCGGGTATTGAGCCAAACTCTGGACCAGAGCTCCTCAACTTTGGATTGGTCAACGCACACTCCAGAGTCAAAAATACGGTGCTAATCCAGGATCTGATCAACAATTGTGGACTCGACATATTGGCCATTACCGAAACCTGGGTATATGACGACTCACCAGATGTAATTAAGCATGGGGCTGCACCTAACGGATACGCAATTGTACATCAGCACCGTCGCGGGAAGTCTGGCACTGGCAGCCCGCACACCATAAAGACATCTTCATGAAAGTCTTGAGCGACTCCTTAACAATTATGTAATTCGAGTTGCTGCTTGTGAAATTAATGAACAGCATGTGGGGGTTTACAATCGCTGTCATCTACCAACTGCCACCTTCACCGCTCTTGGAATTATTTTCGGAGCTTTCCGGCCTGCTAGATTGTGGGTCACTTGGCTCTCACGACATAATCTGTGGTGACCTGAATTGTGGTAATTATGGTAAAATTCACAGTGATCTCGCCGCAATTATCGATGGTCGCACGTCAGCAGTGTGACATGTCGCTCGGGAAATATACTGGATCTCATCTTCACATCTGCCGATGTCATAACTGTGACCAATCTAAGTGAAGATGTATTTCGGATCACAGTCTCGTGACGCGCAAAATGGTATTTCCGATTATTCCCCCAGTCATCGCAACAATATACAGACACTGGAAAAGATTGGACCACGATGCTTTCTGTCAGAAGATCAGGTCATCATTCGCATGTCTAAATCTTGCATCTACGGTCTATTAATTTGCAGCTCAATAAAAAAATACATCACTGCTGTTCTCGATTAATTCATGCCCATCCAAACAAGCACAAAGAGAATGGGGAAAGTGTGCAGTAACTGGCTGTCACTGTCTTTAGAAGAAAACTGGTTTCGAGACCACAGAGCTGCCTGCAGATGTGCAAACTGACTCATTAATGAGTCTCACAGATTGTTCTATGCACTGTGTGTCAATGAGTCGGCTCACAACCCTCGTGCTCTGGTGCTGTTGTGAATGGTTGCTGGACTCCAACCACTCATCAACTAGTCAACCCAGTCTGTGCACAGTACTTGCGACGTTCTTTCCCAATAAAATAGTGACGATCAAGACAGCAGTTTGTAACTTGAAGGCAACGCATTCTCCTGGTCTGCCATCTGAGTTTGATCAACCTGGAACCAATGTGAAACTCGAGACCTTGGCACCAACATCAGTGGCAGAGGTGTCGATGTTCATTACATGGCTGCCAAATAAGACATCGCCGCTCGACGACATCCACACATCCATTCTAAAATAATGCTTGGACATGCTTGTGCTGCCGATTACCCACCTGGCAAATCTTTCGTTCAGTGAGGGCTGTTTCCCAGATTGATTCAAAATGGTGCAGGTAACACCGCTCCTAAAAAAGTTGACTTGAGCCATAGTGACCCTAGTGATGACACCCGGTGGTTCAGATAACAATTCGTCATCCAGCGGTCTGATCAGGGGAAAGCAGTACACCAAGTAGGATTGTGAACTGCACTTTGTGGTTTTCCGAGTATCAAACTCCTCGTGTGTGTGGTGGGGTTTCTCCGGGCGCTCCAGTAAATTAAGCTAAACATTCGGGTCTGATTGGCCATCTGTGCTGTCAACTCCATGCCCTTGTGTCTAGGTTCAAGTTCTATACTAAACAAATTTTTATTTTACCAGGTAAGGCCGATTGAGTTGAATTGCTCTTTTTCAGAAGCGACCTGGTCACAAATGATAGAATAACGAAAGTTGGCTTATTACGTGGAAATTCATAGCAGCCCAATACAGGGACTCCTTTGCTTATGAAAATTCGACTTACGAACTTTCAAAGATACGAATAAACCTGTCCGTATGTCCGGTTGCCTGTTCGGACCGAGAATCGTAAGTTCTACTGCCACACAATAGATGGTGGTGGTTATTCGGTGTCATTCCCCAGCATTTCCAGTATTTATGCCTGGGCCGCCACCATTGTCCATTGTTGTTTTGTCGCTGTGTGGTTCGCTATGGCTTTCTGTGCTTTTCACGAACATGATACTATTGCCTGTTACAAGTTGATTTATGAAGAGAAGAAGAGAGCAACTGTGCAGACATCTCTTGGTAAGTCTGTCAAGAGAGTAGAGAGGAAACACGAACACCAAAGGGAATTGGCATCTACATCTGTAGAACATGAAGAACCAGTAGCATCTACATCTGCAGAACATAAAGAACCAGTGGCATCTACATCTGCAGAACATAAAGAACCAGTGGCATCTACATCTGCAGAACATGAAGAACCGGTGGCGTCTACATCTGCAGAACATGAAGAACCTGTGGCGTCTACATCTGCAGAACATGAAGAACCAGTGGCATCTACATCTGCAGAACATGAAGAACCAGTGGCATCTACAGGAGCTTATGCAACTTTTAAAGTCATTCCCCGTGTTTAGTGTACATGCCGTACAACATTTTTGGAATCGACAGGAGTAAAGTTGGACTTACGAACAAATCGACTGACGAACAGACTTCTGGAACCTAACTTTTTAGTAAGTAGACGAGTCCCTGTACTCTAAATGCACGTTGATTCTAAAGGTGGAGGGAAAAACCAGAGGACTTGGAGAAAAATTCATGCGACCACGGGGAGACACACGCAAACTCCAAGACCTTATGTTCCTCAGGCCATTAGTGGTCACCTCTATCAAATTACCACTGTTTATGTACAGCGTCTTGAGCTGTGGTCACATTTAGATGTGATGTAAGTCCGCATTATAATGGTGTTGTTTGTGTTGAGAATTGGAGATTCTTTACTAGATGAATACATGCAATTATCATGTTTCTTGTGTTCAGCTAAAGGAAAAACACAATGTAACTGGTCTTGGCCACAACACCCCACTGGTGAAAAATTAACTGCACATTACTCAATTTGGTTTACACACAGCAGCAACATCGCCCCCTCCTGCGAAAACTTGGTAGGAGGCTCCTGAATGCCTCAGTAAGGCTTTCTTGGGTAAACAAGTACAATAATAATTATTATTGTTGTCGAACACGAGTGCATGGTGCCCTGGTGAGTGAATCCACACTTCACCGAACCCAGTCTTATCACTCACGCCGTGCTTCTCTCTTCCTCACCCAGGTCTCTTTGCTCTGGACCTGGAGGCCTTTGCTAAGTGAGTGCAGCACCCTCTATACCTCTCTGCCACAACTGATGCGCACAGACACACACACGGCAAAGACAGATTCCCCGTACAGCTTTACAGGACTGTTGGGGCATGTGCTGCTAGCGAGTACTTATGAAGGCCGGCATGGCACACGAGGGGATAGGTGGCCAGCACCACGCACCCATGCACGTATACTCACTTGGCCTCTCTATTCTGTGAAGAAGAGCCATTGCCCAAAACGTCACCTATTATATTATTTTTTAAATCGCAAAACGTGTTATTGACAAATGTGGTGAGTGTTTTTGTTGTCGTTTGTGCTTGTGCACCACTTGCCAACGCAGAATCGCCAAATTATTTGTTACGCTTAATTCTGTTATCTGTTTCTGTAGCTTTGTTTTCTTACCATTAGCCTAAATGCAATGTTACAATCACATTAGCATATCATTAGCATAATCGATTCTGGCATGCATGATTCACTGCATGTGCCGTGAGCGTGGGAATCGATTGCAATCGATCGATGCATTGTTACGTGCCTAGTGTATGTAATGTGTATGCACACCATGTGTATTAGCTGTCGTATACTGTGTGTATAATGTACTGTGTGTGCTGTGTATGTCTGCTGTGCATGTACCGTGTCTGTTGCGTGTTTATTGCATGTGCTTCACGTGTGTCCTATTTTCTGTGTATTAGCTGTGTGTCTGCAGTGCGTACTAACACGCAACATGAAACATGCCTTTGTAACGCCAAGTTGACTTGAGGTGTGGACATGTGATCTCTGTATTGTGGTTTCAGTAACCTTGGAAGGGGGCCACAGGGAGCAGTGATGTTGATTAGTGGTCCGCCATACCAAATAGAACCACGGGTGTATACTGTGTACAGTGAATGTCCTGTGTGTTTTATAGGAATAGTGATTCATCCCCTCCACCGCGGCTTGATGAATTCGATTCAATAATCAATTCCCTTCTAACACTGTGCTAAATTTACCGGCTGCCAGTGGCTGCTGAGGTCACGTGAACCCATTACACACAACGTATACAAATCAGAAATAATTGATTGTGGCACGCTCGATTCGCCCCGTGTGTCGCTAGCATAGGAATGGGACCGATGCTTCATCACACTGGGAGTGTTCATTGTGTGTGTGTGTGTCTCCCCATGTCTGTCTGTGTGTGTCTCCCCACGCATGCCCCTCTCTTCCCATGTCTCTGTGTCTTTCTGTGTCGGTATGTATGAATCCTCCCCTACCGATCTCTCTCCACATGCATCCCCTTGTATTTTTGTCTGTGTTTTCTCCTTTACCCATGCGTCTCCCTCTGCCTCCCTCTGTCTCTCCATGTGTCTGCCCATGCACCTGTGTATCCCTGTGTCTCCCCGTGTCTGTGTGTGTATCCTCCTCTACTCGTGTGTCTCTAGGCACGGCAAGCGCACCACGGTCAACTGTGATGACGTGAAGCTGCTGGCTCGGCGGAGCAAACCACTGGTGGGATGGGGGTTGTCAGGGCTTGGGACAAACCATAATAGGGCCGAGGCAGAACTACACCACATTGTGTCGTCGACATGTATGCCAGGCTAATTCAGGGGTTGGGGTGCTCTGGTAAATCCGCGTGGTTAACAAAATCCCGTTATTTCTATGAACACCACATTTTACCCATTTAAAACATTTAATGTTAATTATATTGCTTTGATATGATATGCCTCATGTCCCTGTGTCTCAAAGGTGCTTTGTGAGAAACATTTACTGTCTTCATGTCCACGAGGCTCAGGGTGTCCTTTGCAGGTGACCATGTCTCCGTGTTTCCGTGTCCCAAGTCGCTTTGTGGGTGAGGGTGACTATCTCGGTGTCCCTGTGATCCATTGTCCCAAGAGTTGCTTTGTGAGCAAGATTGACTGTCTACGTGTCCCCGAGTCTTTGTGGGTGACCGTGTCTTCGTGTGTCCCCGTGTCTCAGAATCGCTTTGTGGCTGAGGGGAGCTCCGCTCTCTCTGATGAGCGCCAGCATCGTCGTGCCCAAGCCAAGGGTGATTCCTCACGGCGCCGGAAAACTAAACAGACTGGGGCTGGTGCGGCCGAGTCGGAGGGTGACAGCGCATAGCCATATCAACAGCACACCACACAGCTGTTACCAGCACACCGCCCCTGTCGGTGTATAGCTGTGTAAGCAGTCAGCAGTTTATCACAACTGTCGACACATAACTAGCTGTGTCACTGGCACACACAGGTGTCAGCAAATAGCTGTGTCGACACAAAGCTCTAACAGCGCACATAGCTGTCATTAGCACGTCGCTCCCTTCCCCGTATAGCAACACCACTTTCCTCTGCTAACTGTTGTCCTCTGCGAACACGTGCACTTGTTTGTCATTAGTATCTTGCCAGTGACCTGTCTGTTGTGGTGTTGAGTGACGTGATGTAAATTGATTAGCATTGTAGCAAGCTGCTTAACGCTTTACAACTATGGTTGTGGGTGTCTATGGATATTGGCTCTGTCTGTCGGAACATTCATCTGGGGGGTGGGGGGGTGGGGTATGATAATTGAGAGTGAAGCTGTGTTGTGTGAACTTGCCCTGATAGAAAACTAGCCAACGGGTTGCCAAGTCCTGCAGACAAAAACCAGTGCTGAAAGGCACTGGTTACATCCCAGTCCTGCCGACCGAGGTCCACATGCCCTCTCTCCCGGCAGAGCTGCTATCCGAGCCTCGTCACATCACACATCGCGATCTACGTATATACCGGTTCCTGCGTGCCTCGTGTGAATGCTACCGTTATTATCGCCGATTTAATACTTCCGAGGATCAACACGTGTTGGAAAGCCTTGCATGGCCAACGCGTATGTATAATTTTTCTTTGTCCATTGTAAAATGCATGTAGTTTACAAATAAACGCCTGTACACAGCTCTTGTGGGTGGCTTGCCCGTGGTGGTGGTGGTGGGAGTGGTGGTTGTGATGCTTGTGGTGGTGTTAATGATTTTTCCAGGCCATGTGCACTCCGAGGCCATTGAAAGTGTCGAAGGCTCGCTGACAGGAGGTCACGGTACAGTCTCTGGTGCCATGGTTTGACTGGCCTGACCGGTGAGTGGCGAATAGCGGTTGTTAATGATTGTGTTGATGGTTAGGGGGGTGTTGTTGTAACGTGGTGTTGATGGTGATTTGAGGGATGGTGATATGGTAGTGGTCGAAGTTACATGGTGCTGATCTTAATTATAATTTAGCAATTGGTATTTGCACCATTCTTAGAGTGCACAGCTATCACGAAAGAAGGCACTGGGTTTCATACAGTCTGCAGTCGTTCTGCAGTAGGGGGCGATGTTGCTTTGTAATCCCAATTGAGTAATGTGATTAGTAATTTAGAAATGGTTGTGGTGATGCGACTTCCTCCACTCCCCCAAGCCCTTGCAAAAATGCTCAGGTTGCGGGTGATAAATGGGCGCGTATATGGGATGGGGAAAATGAGGACTGAGCTGAGTGGACTTGCCAATGGCTGACGCCAGCGGTGTCAAGATTGGCCTCTGTGGAGGAGGCTCGTGAAGGACGCTACTGGGCAGCTGGAGGCAGTCGTCCTCCCAACAAAAGCCGAGGGCGGAGAATCGACGCTCACAACTAGTGGTGTAGCTGGGCTGCTAAACGCGAGGGGGCACGGGTGCCAGTCATCTTGGTTCATCCATAGTACGGTATCTGTCTTGATCTACCAGCACGCTTTGGACACTTAACATAGTCAAGAAGTGCACCTAGTCTGGCTCAAGCCTGGTGTTTTCACTACTTCGGGGCGAATGACAGTTATGGGGGAGTGGTGTAATGGAGAGGTGATTCTAGTTTGGATGGTAGTTGTGGTTTTAGTGGCCTGGCACAAGCGCCGTTGAACGTTCACACCACTTCGTGGCGAATGGCGGGTGTTGTATGGTGGTGCTGGTGATGGTGGTGGCGAGATGTTATCTCCCTCGCCTCGTATGTAGGAGGTTGATGGGTTCGAGCCTGACCCTGATGCCTGTATATTTGGAGCTCTCCTCGTGGTCACGTACATTTTTCTCCGGGGTTTTCCCTCCACATTTAGAATCGTGCGTTTCGAGTACTTGGCTTCAATCTTGATTTGAAGCTTTCGTGACTGCAGGAATCCATACTCTTTGGTTCTTTCGGTAAAATCACGTCGTTAGAAATAAAATAAAACAAATCACGACGTTTCAATCGCAACTCAAGCGGTCGTCATCAGGCAAAGGATTCAGCCTCTAAAGGCAAACTGTAAGGAGATGGGAGTAGCCAAAGTGTAACAACACCAGAAGGCACGGGCGGTGCACGAGTTGCCAATGCAGCAACAATGGCTTCTATACATTTCCACGTGATAAGCCACCTTCGTTGACCTATAATTTGTGGCCAGGTTGCTTCTGAAAAAGAGCGAAACAGCTCTGGGCCGGCCTGGCCTGGTAAAATAAAAATATAATTGGTTTTTTACCCTTCTATCTGGCAACAAAACTGACACCTTTTTACAGTTGCCAGATAGAAGGGTAAAACACCAATTATCATTTTTTACTGCCAAATGAGGTTCCAATGGTGTAAATGTTTACCCCGAGCTCTCATACTTTGATGGTGCATTGTCATCTGGTCCAACCCATGTGAGATTAGGCTCTAAGGAAAGCTGTCTCGGGTGTGGACCAATCAACTTCAAGGACAGTGTATATATTATCAGAGTTATGTTTTTTGTTTGCATTATGGCTGCAGGTATTGTGGTCTATGCAAACATGACTCCTTGTAAAAAAAAGGTGTCAGTTTTGTTGCCAGATAGAAGGGTAAAAAAACACTTATCATATTTTTTACTGGCAAATGAGGTTCCAATGGTGTAAAATAAAAATAGTTTAGATTTTGGAGATGGTGAATGGTGGTGACTGTATGAGTGGCAGTTGCGATTGTGCTTGTGGATGGTAGGTGAGGTAATGATTGGTGATTTTGTAGTTGTGGATGGCGGTTGTGATTTTGGATTGTGCTGGTTGATGTGATCGTGGTGACTGTTGGCTCTGCTGGATGTGTAGTGGGACGCTGTGACTGATGATTGTGTTCACGTAGCTTTTTGTGGCGATGGTGCTTGTGGTGGCAATAATGGTTCTGGTGGTAAAGATGCTGCTTGTTGTGGCGATGATAATTGTGGTGGCAGTAATCGTGTATGTGGCTACGTTGGTTGTGGTAAAAATTGCTGGTTGTTGTGGCGATGGTGCTTGTTGGTGGCAATGCTAATGGTTGTGGTGGTAAAGATTCTGCTTTTAGTGGAGATGGAGCTTGTGGTGGCAATGCTAATGGTTGTGGCGATGATGGTTGTGGGTGTCAGCCGTTGTTGCCTGTGATGGTTTTGGACACACGCATGCCGTCCGGCACGACGGAGTATAGACAAAGGAGTCGGCAGCGTGGGCTCCTGCAAATCCCGGGGGGGGTGGTGGTGGTGGAGGCGAGATCCGGGTCCTTAGGGGCCCTTGGGGGGGAGGGGCCCCCCATCCCCCGCATTGATCTCCCCCGCGCCCTTGTGCGGCACGGCGCGCGACTTCGTGATTCACCCCCCACCCCCTTTGCCCACAGCGATCCAGGGAATCGACGCCGGTCACAGATTCGATTCACATTGATTTCGTGAAACCTCACGGTCCCTTTGTGTTTGAACCGCACATAATCAGAATCTTTATTTATCCTGTCTGCCTGTCTGCCTGCCTGTCTCTCTATCTCGTGTGTGGTTCTGTCCCGTCTTGCTGCATTGCATTTTCTTCATTGTGTTGCCTGACTTGTGTGCATTGTCTTCATCAAATCTGTATGTGTTTTTGTGTATACATTCTTTATTGCCCACTATTTACAATAGAGTTTGTATTGTCTACAATGGGTGTCGTGTGTCCCATCTCGTCATCTGTACGTTGTCTGAACGAATCGAATACCGATTTTCTTCTGGGCGCGCGCGAAGCGATTACGATTTAGCGCGACTACGAATCGACGGCAGGCGATTAATCGCGAAACTTGCAGCAGCGCACACAGCGACATCAACAACAGCGCACAAGGCCGACCTCGCACAATGATGCGTCGGTGCTGCCGCTAACGCTAAAGCCGCGAACGCGGCAGCGAAATCCACAGGGCGGGGAAGCAGACAGGGATCGACTCGAGAATCGCCAACGAAGGGAATCGGCTTCATAATCGATAAATCGATTCATCATTGAGCGCGCGCGCTGAAGGGAGGGGGTGGGTGAGGGGGAGGCGGTGGGGGGGGGGGCCCGCGCGTGCCACGTGACCCGACCCCCCCTTGCGCCCCCCCCCCCCGCGCACCGGTCCCAGTCATGGGCAGTCGCGCGCCGAGACGCTCGATCCTCAATGAATGAGAGGGCGGGGGGCGGGGGGGGGGCTGGGGAAGGGGGGGGGTATGCGAGGGGCGGGGCTACGGGTGGAACCCCCCCCCCGGCTTGACTCGACCACGGGCTGCGCGACTCCGTTCACCGCGAGCTTCGTGCGAGAGATGTGGCGCGTCGCCTTCATGCAGCAGTGGGTCGAGCATGCCCCCCCTCCCCCACCACCTCTTTGGTGGTGGGGGAGGGGCGGGGGGGGTCCTGCACCACCCCCCCCCACCCTTCCCCCCACCCTTCCCCCCACAGCCCGGCTCCCGCTCGCTACCCTCCCCTCACTGAATCGATTACTCGGCAAGTCGATTAGACAGGCGCCGTAATCGATTGATCGATTTTGTCTCGGCGCTCCTCCTCCTCCCTGCATCATCATCGTCGTCCCCTTCTCCTCCTCGTCAGTGTGGCTGCGGTGCTCGTCGATGTTGTTACCGTCATCATCGTCGTCGTCGTTTGCACGGTAGTCGATTTGGCTCTACGTTCGTTGCTGCTGCTGCTACTGCAGCAGCAGCAGTCAAAGTCGTTTCATTCGCCCGGCTTGTCGGCTCCATTGTTTCGTCGTCTTCGTCAGAGTCGACGAGGTTGATCGTCGTCAGTTGCAGCGATCGCCGCTCTGATTACCATGCCCGGAGTGCCGCATTCGCTGTTGTAATCGTTACGGCGTCATCGCAATTAATTAACTATAATCATCGTCTCCATCATCATCATCATCGTCGCCGCCTTCATCGTCGTCGTCATCGTCGTTGGCTGCCGCTCTCGGCGCGAATGAACGAAGCGGCGCTCCCGGAGAGGAGGAGGAGGGGGGGAGCACCCCGCGAGGGGCAGGAGAAGGCGGAGGAGGAGACGACAGTGGGGGGCCCGGGCCCCCCGCAGCCCCCCACGGCTCAGGACCCCGACTCCCCTCACCCCCGCGGCTCGGACCCCCAAACCGCGACCCCCGAGCGGCGGCAGACCCCGCAGACCCCTTCCCACGACGGCGACTCTCGCCCCCACGACTCCTCCATCGCCGCGGGGTCCCCCGCCCCCAAAGAGCCGCTTCCCCCTCGCCCCCTCAACTCGCACTCCGCCCTGGATCTCAACTCTCACCCCCTGGGTCCCCGGCCCCATCACCCCCTCAACCTCAACTCGCATCCCCTTGACCCGCAGCCTCAGCACCACCTGGACGCTCTGCCTCTGCCCCCGCTGCCGCCTCTGTCCGGTTACGGGATCGGCGGCGTCGGCGTCGGGGTAGCGAACCTCCCCGAGGCGGGTCCCGGGTCGCCCGCGGCCGGGACCCCCCCGGTGAGGCACCAGGCCCTGCGGCAGAAGCGGTCCCGCGTGTGGGAGCACTTCGACCCGCCGGCGGGGAGCCGCGTGCGGTGCCGCGTGTGCGGCGTGAGCCTCATGTTCCACAAGAGCACCACGGCGCTGCGGGAGCATCTGCGCAGGAAGCACGCGCTGCAGGAGCTCAGGTGAGGAGCACGCGGGGTGGGGGGGTTGGGTGAGTGGTGGGGGGGTGAGGGAGGTAGGGGGGGGTGAGCGGGGTGGGAGAGTTTAGGTGAGGGGTGGGGGGGGGGAGCTGAGAGGGTGAGTGGTGAGCGGGGTGGGAGAATTTAGGTGAGTGGTGGGGGGGGTGAGGAAAGTGTGAGAGAGATGGGGGGGGGGGTGAGCGGGGTGGGAGAGTTTAGGTGAGGGGTGGGGGTGAGAGGTGTGAGAGAGATGGGGGTGGGAGAGTTTAGGTGGGTGAGAGAGGTGTGAGAGAGAGGGTGAGCGGGGTGGGAGATTTTAGGTGAGTGATGGGGGGTGTGAGAGAGATGGGGGTGGGAGAGTTTAGGTGGGTGAGAGAGGTGTGAGAGAGAGGGTGAGCGGGGTGGGAGATTTTAGGTGAGTGATGGGGGGGGGTGAGAGAGGTGTGAGAGAGATGGGGGTGGGAGAGTTTAGGTGGGTGAGAGAGGTGTGAGAGAGAGGGTGAGCGGGGTGGGAGAGTTTAGGTGAGTGATGGGGGGGGGGAGGGAGGTGTGAGAGAGATGGGGTGGGAGAGTTTAGGTGGGTGAGAGAGGTGTGAGAGAGAGGGTGAGCGGGGTGGGAGAGTTTAGGTGAGTGATGGGGGGGGGGGTGAGGGAGGTGTGAGAGAGAGGGTGAGCGGGGTGGGAGAGTTTAGGTGAAGATGAGTGATGGGGGGGGGGGGAAATGTGAGTGAGAATGTGAGTGGTGAGCAGGGTGGGAGAGTTTAGGTGAGGGTGAGTGATGGGGGGGTGATGGTGAGGGGGGTGATGAGGGGGGTGGGGTGAGCGGAACTGAGGGTGACGGTGGGGGGGTGAGCGATAGTGGGGGGATGAGGTGAGAGAGATAGGGGGTGTGATGGTGAGGGAGGAAGGTGAGAGGCAGGGTGAGGGGGGTGGGGTGAGCGGGACTGAGGGTGACATAAGAGAATGGGGGGGGGGGGGTTGAGTTGGGGGGATGAGGTGAGAGAGATGAGGGTGAGATGATAGGGGGGTAGTGGTGAGGGATGGGAGTAGATGGGGGAGTGGAAGGGGGTGTTGTGAGAGATACTGTGCAAGTATAGTGTGAGTTTGTGGTGAGATCGGCGTGATGTGAGGAGAGTGATGTGGTGGGTGGATGAGAGTAGTGGTGGGATAATGGTGATAAGGTGAAGAGAGCGTTAAGTGTGGGAGATTGTGGAATGAGTGTGGTGTGATGTGTAGTGAGAGGGGTGAGAGTGACGTTGGTGAGCTGTGAGGGTAGTGAGAGTGATGGTGTGTGGGTGGTGACGGATGTGATGATGATCGTGGTGAAGGTGGTTGTGGCTGTGAAGATGTCAGTGGTGGTGGTTATGGAGGTGGTTGGGAGATGTGTGTTGATTGGTGTGATGACGCCAGTGGTGGTCGTGGTAACAGAGGTGGAAGAGAGATCTGTGGTGATGGACGTGATGATGTCAGTGGTGGTGGACGTGGTTGAGGAGATATGTGGTGATGGACGTGGTGACGCCAGTGGTGGTGGTGGTGGACTTGGTTGGGGAGATCTGTGGTGATGGACGTGATGATGCCAGCAGTGGTGGTGGTGGTGGTGGTGGACGTGGTTGAGGAGATCTGTGGTGATGGACGTGGTGACGTCAGTGGTGGTGGTGGTGGACGTGGTTGAGGAGATCTGTGGTGATGGACGTGATGATGCCAGTGGTGGTGGTGGACGTGGTTGGGGAGATCTGTGGTGATGGACGTGATGACGTCAGTGGTGGTGGTGGACGTGGTTGGGGAGATCTGTGGTGATGGACGTGATGACGTCAGTGGTGGTGGTGGTGGTGGACGTGGTTGGGGAGATCTGTGGTGATGGACGTGATGACGTTAGTGGTGGTGGTGGTGGACTTGGTTGAGGAGATCTGTGGTGATGGACGTGGTGACGTCAGTGGTGGTGGTGGACGTGGTTGGGGAGATCTGTGGTGATGGACGTGATGACGTCAGTGGTGGTGGTGGACGTGGTTGAGGAGATCTGTGGTGATGGACGTGGTGACGCCAGCGGTGGTGGTGGTGGACGTGGTTGGGGAGATCTGTGGTAATGTACGTGATGACGCCAGTGGTGGTGGTGGTGGACGTGGTTGGGGAGATCTGTGGTGATGGACGTGGTTGACGTGGTTGAGGAGATCTGTGGTGATGGACGTGATGATGCCAGCAGTGGTGGTGGTGGTGGACGTGGTTGGGGAGATCTGTGGTAATGGACGTGATGACGCCAGTGGTGGTGGTGGTGGACGTGGTTGGGGAGATCTGTGGTAATGTACGTGATGACGCCAGTGGTGGTGGTGGTGGACGTGGTTGGGGAGATCTGTGGTGATGGACGTGGTTGACGTGGTTGAGGAGATCTGTGGTGATGGACGTGATGATGCCAGCAGTGGTGGTGGTGGTGGACGTGGTTGGGGAGATCTGTGGTAATGGACGTGATGACGCCAGTGGTGGTGGTGGTGGACGTGGTTGGGGAGATCTGTGGTGATGGACGTGGTTGACGTGGTTGAGGAGATCTGTGGTGATGGACGTGATGATGCCAGTGGTGGTGGTGAACGTGGTTGATGAGATCTGTGGTGATGGATGTGGTTGAGGAGATCTGTGGTGATGGACGTGATGACGTCAGTGGTGGTGGTGGATGTGGTTGAGGAGATCTGTGGTGATGTCCGTGGTGACCGACACCGGCGGTGGAGGGCATGATGACTGAGGCGGCTGTGAGCCCTGTGCCGACGATGGCTGTGACGATGACGGTGGCTGCTGTGGTGGCGGTGGCTGCGGGGGAGTGATGGGACCCTTGGAGAGAGACCTCGGCATCAGGTGCTGCGGCAGAAGCGGTCGCGCGTGTGGGAGCACTTTGATCCCCCTGAGGGGAGCCTGGTGCGGTGCCGCGTGTGCGGCGTGTGCCTCACCTTCCACAAGAGCACCACGGCGCTGCGGGAACACCTGCGCAGGAAGCACAGCGACCAGGACCTCGGGTGAGGAGGGTGATGGGGGGGTGAGGAGAGTGAGGCTGCTGCTGAATGGGCATGTAACGATTCACCTTCCCCACCACACACCCCTTTACTCGATCCACCCCCTCGACTCTTGTGATTCGTCAGTGGAGTAGCTATCGGGTGTGCAGGCGGTGCAACTGCACCTCGCGTTGCCATGGTCTAAAGTGACCCAGGCGGCAGGCTAAAAGGAGAAGGGGGGGGCATTTATTTAATTCATTTCCCGCGGGGCCTGTGAAATCGCAGACCTCGGACTTACATGTTAGACCAAAGACAAACGTGGCGAACCATGGACTCTTATTAGAGATCCACACACACTTATGTAAAGGGCCAGTAGACTAACAACGTATTGACAAACAGGACCCATAGACTGGCAGACACACAGAACAATAACTCACAATGGAGACCCACGGACTAAGATAGAAACCACAGACTAACGTAAGATTCAGTGGCAGAGGTATCAAGTGGTGTAGGCAATGCAACTGCACATGGGCCCAACTGCCGGGCGACAAAGAGGGAGTGGCTGGGGGGAAATTGAAAGAGTGATTGGGTGGGGGGGTCCCTTTATAGGGGCGGCACGATGGCGAGATGTCAACTCCCTCACCTGGTATACAGGAGGTCGTGGGTTTCATCCTGACCCTAACCCCTTAATATTTGGGGTTTCAACGTTCTCCCCGTGGTAGCGTGGATTTTTCTCCGGGTCCTTCAGTTTATCCCCTCCACATTTAGAATAAACGTGCGTTGAGTATTTGGCTGTTGTACATTTCCACAAGATGAGCTACTTCGTTGAGCTATCACTTGCGCCCAGGTAGCTTTTGAAAAACGCTACATAGCGCAGTGGGGCCTTACCTGGTAAAACGAACAATAGTTGAATAGTTTTAAACTTATATTCTTTGCACCAGGGCCCTTGCCATGTCAACCATACGACTACACCACTTCGATTAAGGGTTGCAATTCTATTCTAAGAATAGATTTACACAATATATAAACTTTTCATTTGAATAGTTTCTCATTACTCCTGTCTCCACTGGTTCGCTTTTGCATGTCATTTGCATAAATACTCATTGATGGATTGTCACGCGTGCGATTGGATGCACCGCATACCCCGTGCCCACGAGTCTGCATCAACGCGGCGAATCGATGCATCGTTACATGCCTTGCGGCGATGAACGCTCAGAGTGGTGAGGGTGGTGAGGGTGAGTGCGGCGCTGTGAGGGCAATGGTGGCGGTGGTGATATATGCGATGATGACTGTAATAGTGGAGGTGGATGTGAGAGTGCTGGGGTGATGGTGGTATTGACTGCTGCGGTGGTGGTGGTGGTCTTGGTTGTGGTGAAGGTGGTGGTGAGGGTTCTTGGTGGTAGTTGTGAAGGTTTTTATGGTGACTGTGGTTAGGATAGTAGTGAGGGTGATGGGGTGGTCATAGTAATGGGCACAATGAACATGATGATGGTAGTGGTTCTGGTAAGTGTGGTGGTGTGAGTGATGGTGGAATTGGTTGTGGTGAGGTGGTGGTGAGGGAGGAGAGGGTGGTGTGGATTTAGTGGTGGTGAGGAAGCATTTGCCAAGTCTTCATCATTAGTTGGAGCCATCCCTGGATTTTACCCAAGTGTTGGTCAGCCTCCCATTGTATTTGGACAAGATGAAAATTTCACTATACAGCAATTCAACATCGCTGTCACATCCCAAAAGTCGAAAGAAAACCAAACGCCCTGGCCTATTGGTGCTATCAAAAGCCGTGACCCAGTCCATAAAGTGGAGTCGTAGGTCCTGTTGAATTCCCTACTCCTGCTGTAGCAGACAGACAACAGCGTCTGTGCGGGACCACACTGGGGGATCCGCAACCTCTCGGCGAGCCTGTTGCCTGCCAAGGCGATTTTGAATAATCTTTTCCAGGACCTTTTCCCGGCGCCTCGAGGAGGGAAGACACCCCGGTAGTTACTGAAAACGGTGCAGTCCCCCTTCAAATTGGGCGACCACCAGGGTATTTTTCCAATCCCGTAGAATCCGTCGTGCGGTCCAAGCAATTGTTATGATGTCACGTAGCAGAGTCTGCACGCAGTCACCACCCTCCTCAGCAGTTCGCTTGGGAAGTCATCTCTACCCAGTACTTTACCTGGTCTCATCCTCCGGATCGCTCCACACACCTCCTTGGCTGATGGCACATCAGCCAGCCGCTCACAGGGGATGGCTACTTCCTCTCGCCTTCGAGGCTCCGCAACCGTTGCAGGAACAGGCCCTCCTTGCCCCATGATATTGTTTGAGCTTAGGAAATTACTCCCCACCCTCACCAAGACCTCACAAAAATGGTCAGTAAATCTCTATACATATTCCTGAGGGTCAGAGTTCAAATCTCCATTCTTCACCAGGAACTTGCCACTGAGAGGTAAGACAAGCACAAAGCATCTGCCTGTCATCAAATAACCCCACCCCCCCCTCCAACTCACCATGAGTGATGTGGCAGCTGTGTAAGAAAGTGAAGAGTTCCAATACCTGGGCAGTGTGATCATTACCAACTCCGATTTGGCAATGGATGTCTCGCATCTTATAAGTTTAGCGGCATTGTCTTCTCATTGGCTACGAAAGTAGCGCTGTATGGGAGCTCCCTGGCCTGTCACTTCATACGAAGCCACAGTTATGCCCCCCCCCCCCTTTCTCTGTGCTCGCAAAACGTGGACCCCTTTCCAGGCACAAGCTGAGCTAGCTTGATACTTTCAGGATGTGACCCGCCTGACCCATCCTGGGTTTAACCAGCCTAGATTGTGCGAGAAGCTCACAGATACTTGAAACATCTGAAAGCATTCCCATTGGCCAGCTCCTCAGGCAGGTTAAAGTAGGCCGCATGCCCAACCACCACTGGCCCAGGCAGCTTCTGTTTGGCCGGGTAGATGGGGATACATGGGCACAGCATGTGCTAGAGAAGAGATTGACTGATATGGTACAGAAGGATATGAAGCGGAGTGGGCTTACCGTTGACTGGTACCAGCGTTGTCAAGATCGGCCTCTATGGAAGAGGAGGCTCATGAAGGACCCTACTGGGCAGTTGGAGGCATTTGCTCTCCAACAACAATGGAAGTCGGAAGAGCGACGCTCACAACAACGAGCGGAGCGTTGGACAGCTAAAACGCAGCAAAGTAGCATTGTAGGGAGCGCAGGTGGTGCATCTGACAGTCATCTCAGTCGATTTGTCCTCCTGCCAGCAGAGAGCCTTCCACACTTTGCCATTGCCTAAAAGTGGACCTAGCCTGGCACAAGCACCGTGGTGACATCACCACTTAGTGGAGAATAATGGTTGTTTTTGGCAAGGGTGGCGGTGTGGGTTGTCAGGTTTAGGGCGATGGGGTGAGAATGGCGAATTGAATATGGGGGTGATAAGTGGAGGGGTGGTGGCGATATTGTTGGTGAGGGTGGTGGTCACGATGGTGGTGGTGGTGATGGCAACTGTGTGCGGTGCTGAGTGCGGGCAAGCCTCAGTCCATGGACAACGGCACGTGAAGAGCTCAGGTGAGCAGGTGAGGGTGAGCAGTGGTTGATGATGGAGGCGACGCTAGCGGTGGTGATGAAGCTCAGGAAGCACACGACGAGAAAGTGTGCGCTACACAAGCCCAGGTGAGGAGGATGATGAGGTCCCGGATGGTGGTGAAAGTGTTGAGGGCGAAGGTGATGATTGTTATCATGGTGGATCTGATGGTGGGGTGAGTGTGTGCCATAATGATGGTGGTGGTGATTGGTTTGGTGTAAGTCGAGATGTTGGCGAGTTTGGGAGTGGTAGTGGTGGTGATGATGAAGGTGATCACGATGATGATGGTATGGTGGTGGTAGTGGTGGAAGTGGTGGTGATTTGATGATAATCTTCTCTATAAAATACACTTTTTGTCTCTGTGTGTCTGTGAACGTAACTTGCGATGCTTTTAATTCACAAAGTGTGGGGTATACCTTTCAAAAAGTACCCAGACACCACGAGATAAGCCCCGGGGTGAGCCAGCGCTATTCGTATTTCACATCCGTCCACTTTAAAGTAGTTTAATTAACAATGTATTACTAGTAATTATATTACTACGCTGAGCGCGCGCCAAAGCTCGCATCTGTATGTGCGAAACGCTGACCCATGGTTCCCATAGCAACGCACACACAATTGGTGGGGGGGGGGGGGCAAAAAAACTACATACAACGCTGAGGTAAATTCATCAAAGTGTGATGTCCTCCCCCCCCACTTACTACTATCGGGTCGGTAGCTGCTACTAATATAGTCCGTAGATACTATTACTGTAGTGCGGGCCGGGGGATGGTGGGAGGGGTAGCACCTCGGCCGGCTGGGCAAGCTAGGCGAGGCCGGGGGCTGTGCACAGGACTAGGCCTCACCACGGCACTCTTTTAAGTAAGTTAACTGCTATAGAGTCGATTGATACTATTATAAAGTAAGTAGATACTACTGTATAATCAGTAGTTACTACTATAGAGTCGGGATATACTACTGCAGAGTCGGGAGATGATATTGTAGAGTTGGGAGATGATACTGTAGAGCCAGCAGATATTGCTATAGAGTCTGCAAATACTACTATAGTCAGATACTGCTATAGAGTTAGTAGTTACTACTATCGTCAGTGGATACTACTATAGAGTCAATAGATACTATAGAATCAGTAGTTACTACTATAGAGTCAGCTAATACTACCGTCACTCGATACCACTATAATCAGTATATACTGCTACTGTAGTCATTAGATACGACTGTAGAGGCAGTAGATACTGCTGTAGAGTCAGTAGATACTACAATAGTCAGTAGATACTACTGTATAGTTAGTAGTTACTACTATAGTCAGTGGATACTACTACGGTCAGTAGTTACTACTTTAGAGTCGGTAGATCATACTATAGATTCGGTAGATACTACCGTAGAGTCGGTAGATACTACTATGGAGTAATTACTACTATAGTCATTGGATACTTCTGCAGAGTCAGGTACTACTATAGAGTCGGTAGAT